ATTAGCTCTGCTGTGACAGCCTGTCTCTGTTGCACTCATTCACATACTAAAAATGATGCCTAAAATAATTCTTACATGCTGAATTGTGAGTGATTCAGACACTATTGTAAAAGCTTCACATGTTAAACCTTCACATGTGTGGACCTTGACAATAGGAGGGGGTGTTTGGGGGTCCATCTTGCACAGTTTTCTTTCACTGATAAAACTGTTTGATACCAAGATGCTTTTGCTTTTACAAGGTGTTTTAACTTCAGCCACTTCACTCCTGCAGTCTCAGCTGCCTGAGTTGTGTCACTGGAGTTCTTTCAGGATTTGGATGAAACCTCAGCCCTTCACAGAACTTCAGAGCACAGAGCAAAAGCAAAGCACTTAACAGGTATTAGTCTAAACGGTCCTTCTCTTTTACAGCTATATTTATACATTTAACAGATAATTTTATATTGCAGTTTCCAATAGAAAGTGTACTGGAAGCTTATGCTTTTGTGTGTTATTTATTTTGTGTGCTATTTTGTGTTCTTTAAGATTTTCTTCTATTTCTCTTAAGCTGTAGCATTGTTCTACTAGAATTAATTCCACTAACAGATCAGGTAATTCAGTGGATATTACTAGCTTCCATTTGTTTGGTTGTTCTAATCCAAATACTCCAGATTTCTTAAAACCTTTATGTACTATGCAAATGTATGATACATTAGGTATGATACGTGTGAGAATGAGTTTGCCTTTCTGTGAAATGCAGCTATTTCTCAAATAAAACATACTAACTGCTTCTAATATTTACATACAGAATATAAGGGGGGGGTGTGCCTACATAAATATAGGACCAACACATACCTGATACTAATTTCCCTTGTCTTTGAAGACAAGGAATCAGTGTGTGTCTAGTGGTGACAGCAGATTTGTATGTATTTATGTACATACACATAGACAGGTATATATTATATGCATCAGTGCCAGGTTTTGGTGACAGCAGTGCTGTGTGTGCAAACCCAGATATCCAAAAGCCAGCTATCATCTGCCTGAAATCACAATAACAAGCATTCAGTCAGTGTTTCTGAAAGTGCTTCCCAAAATACAATTGCTATTTCCAGCCCTTGGGAGTCGCAGGATCCAGAAATACAAGAAACCTCTTATATAACTCACCTTATTGCTATCGTGAGTCAAGCAGAAAGGGGCAGATTTTTTTTTTTAGGGTGCTATGCGTGTCTTATTTGGTGACATGTTACTTGATAAAGAAACAATTAGGCTAATTGAGGGGAAAGCTAGGCAGAAATAGGTTAAAGAGGTCTTAAAGTACAGCTTAAAAGAATTAAATCTGGACGTCTTTATTTAGCAGAGACAAAAATAAACATCAGGTTAGCAAACAAAGGACAATGACAGGAAACAAAGGGTGTAAGTAGTACTATGCTAGAAAAGCAAAAGAATCACTGATATACCATATCTATTCTAATATCTAACTCATAAAAGTTTTAAAAAAAATGTACACATGTGAACATACAGACACATCTATGGATTTGTGATGTTTAACACTGTAGTGTCCTTTCCATTTTATCTGTCACAACAGCACCTGAAAACAGCAGGAGAAAATTACTGTGGTAAATGGACATAAATCATCCTTAACTTGACCTATGGGCTTGATTTAAAGATGCAGACTCCTCACCTCCACTTAGTTTTTTTTCTCCAGAATAGGAGGAAAATGAGTTAATATTATTATCAGGTATTGTTGTGCTCTCAAACTGCACTTTGATATCATCAATCTCATAATACCTTAGTTTCCCCTGGCATCTCAGTTTTACATGTGTATTTATTATTTGCATTACCATAGTGCTACAAGAGCCTGGTGTGTATCAGGGTCAATACTTTTTATACTTTATAAACTATGAAATTAGAGAACTGAGGAATACAGGCAGGAGAGGCAGCATAATGAACTGAGATCCTCTATTGTAGACACTGCAAGAAGAAAAAGTTTTAAGGAGAGGTTTTAAGGAAAATTGCCAGTAACTTTTGGGCCGTTTATAGGATTCTTGGAAATAAAAGGCAGCAATGAGAATGCACAAAAGAACATGTTTAAATGTGTTACAAATGGGCTGTGAAAGCTGGCATGTGAGCTGATTGGAGCTGCAGTTAGATGTCAGCAGGGAATGGAAATGGCAAGCAGACAGGCTGCCAAGGCCTTCCAAAGCAAAGACAGGTAGGTAAGGATCCACATGATAGAGTAGGCTGAGCCAGCACAGGGAGGAAAAGAGTGGAATAACACGGTGAGAATGACAGACTTAGAAAAATGGTCACTGTAGTAGTGTTCTCAATAAATATGAGTAAGACAAGGTTATATTTTTCAAGGCCAAGGGAAAGGATGTTGCAGTAATTGAGATTTGAGATGATGGGAGTTTTAGCTACATGGACAGATTTAGACATAGTCTGACCATAAAGGGCTAGGGAAAGGTCTGAGTCAAAGATGATTACATACAGGCAGATAATAGCATAATAGATAAAGTAGAGAGTACTTGTGGGAGAAGGCTTGACACTATTTTAACTCTACTGAGCTGAAAATGACATTAGCATTGTCAATTAACCAGTTTTTATCCAGATGGTGCAGGGATTGGAGGGTGGAGTATTTGTGTGCCGTCTGGGCTGACTACAACCGAGGCACTGTATCCTGCAGTACAACAGTTCGAGGAGCAGGCTGAGAAATACAGAGAGCCTAAACATCCCCACACCCCACCTTAGTAACAAAATGTTCATAACGTTAATAATTTATGCTCTTGCAGATCCAAGGAGCTATTGGGTGAATCATCAGTCAGGGGACTAAGCACATCTCTTGCAGTTCACGTCACCTTTGGGTGCCTGACCATGCATGTGTGGGATTCACAGGACGATTGTGACTGAGTGCGGTGGAAGATGAAGTCACACAGAATAGTCGTAAGAAGGTACTAGAGATGCAAGCTAAAGTTTTTTAGGAAAGCAAGTCAATCTGCATTGAGAAGGCATAGCTGGGAAAAACAAATGAGTGGAAAAGGTCATTTGAGCTGTGGTCATAGTACACATTATCTGGGGATAAAGTGTGGAGTGGCTAGAGCACAGACCCAAGGAGAAAGACCTGGTTAATACCGACTGGAAGCCAGAAGGCATGTAAAAAACAGTCCCTCAAAAATGTGCCAGTCTTAGAAACGTTGGGGGAAAAAAGGGACAGGTCAGTCACTGAACAAGGGTGAGTATTTCACTTGACAGATTCAGGTGGAATAATAGTTGTGATCATTAAAGGTCATATGAGCAAGAGGCTGTTTGAGACTTTGTCGTCTGAAAGAAATGCAAAGGGCATAAGCCAGGTTGGAAAAAATCTAGGACAAAACTGATGGAAATAAATTTATGAGAACATTTGGGAGAGCACTTTTAGTGATCTGAGTCATGAAGTGTCAGAAATGAGTTCTAGTTCTCATGATGACAGAAAAACCTTTAAAACGTGATTTGAATGAAACCTTGAAACAATGATTAAGTAAAGAATCCTCTGTGTGTACACATACAAATGTGTGTAGACCTATACATACATACATATATATATACACCACGCTGGAATACATCAAAGCAAGACTTCAAAACTGCATCAGTGGATTTTTTAGCTAATCTTTGCTGAGAGGATAATGCCAGAGGCAAAGGTATATCATACCAGAAGACAGCAGACAAGACTGCTTGCGTGAATGAGGTGAACATTTCATCTCCTTTTGCTCACTGCTTACTCCTGCTGCTTATTCATATAAAACACACAGTTCCATGCTTATTGTAGGAAAATATTTTTCACTCCAGAAACATTTTTTTTTTCTGTCATAAGAGACAGCAGCCCAGTTCCCTTGTGTTTTTCTGGGTTTGATTTTCTAAAGTTTTTGGAATTCCACATGTAAATTGTTGATAATAAAGGTGACACTTAAAAGTAATGCATAAAATTATTGTCAAAATTACTGTCTTGTGGCTTCTTCTGAAAGTACTTCTTGCCTTGTACAAACGCATGGTTCACCTCAAAGAGCCTTTAGGTCAGAGTCAGCTCTTCAGATGGTGTAACTATTAGTTCATAGAGAAGAAATAACTGCCAGAATGAAAGTGGATGAAGACTTTTCCAAGAAGACATGGAAAAGCAGAGGTGATATGGTATCTTTGATACAGTTGTTGGTACAATGCTGGTGAACTGGCAGGGGATGATCTTCCCCCAGAGGAGCCAGAGCCAGTGCCGGCCCTGTGCAGGTGTGAGGGGAGCACTGCCGGCTCTGTGAGGGCTTCTTAATCTGGGTATGGAGCTCCTAACTGCTCACAAAGGAGCCCAAGTTACTTTTTGTATTATTTTTTTTTAAATCTTTTCTTTGATCAGCTCTTCTGTGGTATACAGTCTTGCAAGCAGGGAGGAATTGTCCTTCCACTAATGGGGGACTAAGTTAGAGTTGGTCACACCACTGAAGAAGCTGGACATTGCTGTTTTGTAGCTCAAAAATATGATTTATGACATCCAAAAGGCTTGACAATATCACAGACCCCCTTTCCCTGAGAGCAGAGACCATCAGACCACAGAGAGTGCCCCGATCTCCACCCTGCCCTCCAGACACGCACAGCTGCTCCCTGTACAGGGCCAACAGGCCACTTTATGGACAATTTTTATTTCATTTTAATTTTACATGAATGGTACCACTGCCATTTTCATCACCAATTCTTTTACTTCCTTTAGCATAGTGTTTATTCTTATCGTTTACTCCTTTTATTATAGTGTTCATTGGTGTCCAGGGATCATCCAGAAGGCCTGGGTTGTCTGATCACTCCATCTTCCTTCGGGACCGCTCTGCGGGGGGGACGGCGGCGACCACAGCGACGGCCACAGCCCGAGCGCCTCAGGGCGCCATTGAGCCCCGCCCGCCCTCACGGCCTGAGGGGGCCGCTCCCGCCCGTCCTCGGAGCCCCGCCCCGTTCCCCACAGCCCCGCCCCTCGGCCGCAGCTCCCGGCAGCCCCGGCGGTGTGGGAGGGGCGCGGACCCGTCACGTGAGCGCCGCGTTCGGGCCCGCGGCGGCGGCGGCTGCACGGGAAGTGTCGGTGAGTGCCGGTGCGGGGCTGCTGTGTGTTATTGGGGCCCGGCAGTGCCGGTGCGGGGCTGCTGTGTGTTATTGGGGCCCGGCAGTGCCGGTGCGGGGCTGGGGAGAGTCACTGGGGCCCGGCAGTGCCGGTGCGGGGCTGCTGTGTGTTATTGGGGCCCGGCAGTGCCGGTGCGGGGCTGGGGAGCGTCACTGGGGCCCGGCAGTGCCGGTGAGTGCCAGTGTGGGGTTGCTGTGTGTCTCCAGGGCCCGGCAGTGCCGGTGCGGGGCTGCTGTGTGTTACTGGGGCCCGGCAGTGCCGGTGTGGGACTGCTGTGTGTTACTGGGGCCCGGCAGTGCCGGTGTGGGACTGCTGTGTGTTACTGGGGCCCGGCAATGCCGGTGTGGGGCTGCTGTGTGTCTCCAGGGCCCGGGAGTGCCGGTGTGGGACTGCTGTGTGTTACTGGGGCCCGGCAGTGCCGGTGCGGGAGCCCGGCTTTGCGGGAGCTGTGTGTCCGTGCGGGGCCCGGGCAATGTCCGTGGGTCTGGGCAGTGTCGGTGGGGCGCAGCGGCTGCCGGGGCTCGGTTGCCCGGGCTCCTTGTGGCCGCTCGGCTCCGGTCTCTCCTGATTCCCACCCAGGGTGCAGCATCCATCTGGGAACGAGACATTGCTGAAGTGTGGCTCAGCAAAGACACCTCTGAAGTGTAATTTTTACCTTTCCTGTTCAGTCCTCTTCATGATATGAAAATAACCTGAGTGCTCTTGATTCGCTTTCAGACCTTTAAGCCGCTGTAGTGTTCATTTCTGACTGGCTTAAATTTTGTTCTGAGGCATGTGACTTATTTCAGTGCTCACGACTGAAAAGCTGAAACCTTCCATTTCAGAGGAAACTTCTTAGTTTATTTAAATCAAGAAATTATTCTTGAAGATAACAGATCTTCTGCTTGCTGGTTTTTGTGTTGTGGCAGTCAAAAGGCATGTTTTCTACTTTCTGTGGGTGGTGGATTTTGTTTTGTTGGTGTGGGCTTTTTTCAGATGTGCGTGTTTTAAGAGCACAAGAAGGGTATTAGCTTTTTTCACAGAAAACCCCATTTTTCTTAGTGCTATAAAAGCAGCATAGGCAAACTCAGTGTTAAAATTTTGAGAGTGTTTAGTTGTGGGTCTGTAGATTGGGTTGCCACAATAGGCACTGACAGAAACTGGATGTTTAAAAAGTAGCTTGGCTCTATGGCACAGCTCCTTTTCTGGGCAGGAATTGTGCCCAGTGTAGTGGTCATACATCTGTTTATCATTAGCCATATTCAAAGGACCAGGTATCTGATGGTACAGCAATGGTATGATGTAAAACCAGAACCTCTTCCTTGCTACAGTTTTCTTTTTGGAGTTAATTTGTATTTAGGTGGTTAAAAAGGTTAGGCTGTACATTTATTAACAGAGTTTTAACACACGGAATTTCTGGCGCTGTATGTGACTTCATTGTGTGGCAGGTGTCCCAGGAGATGAGCTATAGAGCTGCTTTCAATAAAATGTAGAATTCTCCCTTTTTGCACTGTTTATCATTCTGTGCTTGGTCAGAAGGAAACTTGCAGAAAACACTCTCACTGAAGACATGGGCATGTAGCATCATCAAGGTAGATCAGACCCTGTGCTATTGTATTCCTCTATGTAGAGTTACAGAGTTAAATACCAATAGTTAATTCAGACTGCACAGCTGATTTAATGAGAAGTAACTGTAAAACTGTAGGTATTTGTGAGTTGTTTCAAAGAACACAAAATACTAGTTTCTCTAAGAACTTGAATTGGGTAGAAATAAGTTTTTTGTTTCATGGTCTATTGCTTCTGACTTTGCCAAGTTACAGGGCTTTTCATATGAAAGTCATTCCTAAGTGTGTTTGGGAAAGGAAACTGATTAGCAACATTTTAAAACCAGTCCTTAAGAGTTTTAGAAGAGAAGGTTCTCAATTCCACCTACTTGATGCCAAACCTCCTGACATAAGGTAGCACATAAAAAGAACTAGTACTGTTTGTTTCCTTTCTCCAGATTGTTTTGATAGCAACTATTCTGGGATTTTGCTTCCTTTCTGAAGTTTTCAAAAGTAATGTCAATTGAAATTTTCTGGCAGTGCTAACAATGTCTTTCTACCTGTTCCATTCCTGTTAGGGGCCAGCTACAGCACAAAAACCAAATGTTGCTGTAAAGTTGAAGGAATGAACACAAGTTTCCTGACATCTGACACTGAAGTGTGCATCTATGCTTTATACAACTGAAATGACTGGTTGAAGCTGGAGACTTCTGAGCAAGAGAGAACAAAAGTAAGTGCCTTTTAGTAGACTGTAATACACTTTTGTGTAAGATAGAATGTGTTTTTTCCCAACCATATGTAAGTAACTCCTGTGCGACGTTATTGCATGTAGTGAGTGGAAAGGCTGTACAGCAGAGACTGGGATGTCACTGGCCCCATCAGTGTGGGAAGTGTCTGAGTTTCTGTGTCCAGCCAAGACCCTGCCTGCTGCTTGAAAGAGAGCACCTCCAGAAGTGTCGTGCTGCCCTGTGAGTGACTTAGGCAGGGTAGTCCCAATGTCTTCTTTCTTAGGGATGGAATCCAGCAATGATTTGTAAATTACTTTGTCATAGTCTATGAAATCATAGTCCACTTAGTCTGCTTTTTAAAGCACAGACCAGCTCAGAATGGTACTTTCTCCTTGGCATTATGTGTATTCATGTAGTGGAAGATGGAACTAAACAGCAGATGGCAGAGGATGAGTCTGATGGGTTGTACATGTTCTTAAAGGAAAGTTGGGAGGAAAGTCTGAGTAGGGGGAGGTAGTTTTAACTGTTACAGTGTCATTTTTGAATATAGTATATCATTGCATAACAGATGCAATTTCCATTTCTCCTGTGGAATCATCACTTAAATCTTTAGCAACAGAACTACAGTGGCCTAAGGGGATGTCTTTCAAGAAGAATGAGCAAAGAGCAACTGAAGGCTTTCTTAATAGGAAACTGGGAAGCTGTGTTTGCTGTCCCATAGGCTTTCCTGTCAACTGCATCAGCTTCTGACAATGTGGGAGAGGTATGCATTCCCTGCAGGGGATGCAGAGCAGTGAAAATAGACTGGGTGGGTTTAGAAAGCCACGGATCAGCCTTCAGGCATAGTTTTCTTACAGATGTAATGTTGATTCTAGAGGTAATCTGACAAATGCTTCCTTAAAAAACCTACTCACTTCTGTCACATCACCTAATCTAGGTAGATTTAGCTGTTGGAGGGAAAACCACTGCTTCCTTTGATCTGCTCACAGGACTGAACTTCCACTCTAGAACTCGGCTACCAGAATGAATATTAAGCAGCAGTCCAGGAAAAAAGATAATCGTGGCAAGGGAAAGGTAGTACACATGGAACAAATACAAGATTAGCAATAAGTGAGTACAAGTGGACAGAAATGATTGTTAGCATAAATTGTGAGAAATAGAATAATTGCTGGTAAGCAGGCCTTAGAAAATAATTATATGTATTACTACTAAAGAAGGTGTTGCTTTTATTTGCAATGGTGATGTAAAGCACAAAAATTATCTAACTATCAGATCCATGATGGCATGTGTTCTACTCTATCACCTCTCTTTGTGAGAGGACTTACAGTTCTCTTAAAAGAGTAATGTTACAGACCTTTAGTTAGGTCTTCTTGAAAGTTGTGATTTACTTTGAAAATAGGGTGGGAGTTAATTTCCACGTTAATACAGTAAAACAAAAAACTTCAAGAGCAGACAGGAGAAATATCAATCAAGACAGAATTGAGATTTTTTATTTTTACTTCCTCTAGCTATTCTTTATTCAATATCTGCCTTCCATGTACAGGCTACAAGAGTTTTTTATTTTTAAGAACTTATATATAGAAGTGCGTAGGAACTGGTGGCACTGAGAAATTTTCTGACTAATTTTCTGCCAAGTTGTTTCTTTAGCTGCCATTTGTAGATTTCCATTGTCAGGATACCAGTTTTTGTTATTGTGAGATCTTCCTTCTAGTATCTTGAAAACTCCCTACTATAGTGAGCCTGTAGAAGGTTCACCATAGTAGGGAGTGGGCAGGCAGCTGACACACTTGTAATTGGTTTGGTGATTTAGCAGTCACTTGACTGTTGTGAATTTTGTTTGTATTTGTTTGTGTTGAATCCTTTGAGGACAATGACTTGACCTGTCAAATGCAGGGCTCATTAGAGAACAAGAGAATGCTTTTTCTGGGAGAGGGAGCGTTTCTGGCTCTTCACAAACAAATTCAGCAGTCTGTGTTGAGTTGTGCAGCTGCTGTACAGTCTAGCAGAGAATTGGCAACAATTCTGAAGTGCATTTTACTTAGGATGGGAAGCCTGGTGTAGAATTGGTGCTGAACAAACAGCTTCAGATTGAAAGAGTTTTTGTGATGTTGTTTTTGTAGGATGCAGATTTTTTTATATAGTGATTATTGATGAATTTGATTTAACTGACTTGGAAACCTTGGTGCAGAAGGACAGAGATAGATTCTGCATGGGCAGTATTCCATTGAGGCCTTGCACTGCTGGCATGCTTTGTGTGTTCTGGTTCCATCTTGATTTGATAAGGCTTTCAAAGAGACTTGAAAGCTCATATGGCTTCCCTGGAAAATGTAGATTTAGTAAGTACATGTGAATAGGGAATATTATTTAGACATCAAGGGAGAAAACCCACTAGTGGCATAATCCAGTCTCAGATCAGTAGAATCACGAGGATCATTTGAGGGAAGGTGAGGGCTGTGACCTCCATTACTAAGAGGTTATGCTTGGAAGGATTTTAGACCCTGTGGCAGTGGTGGTAAAGCAGAAACAGGAGGTTCTGTGATCTACCAATTGAGATAAGGGAGCGCAAACAACATCATTATGGTTAATGATCTTGGACTGGAATATCTCTCCTCTGAAGACAGGCTGAGAGTTGGGGATGTTCAGCCTGGAGAAGAGAAGGTTCCAGGAAGACCTTATAGCACTTTCCGGTACCTAAAGGGAGTCCAAATGAAAGATGGGCACAAGGTTTTTATCAGGGCCTATTTTTGGCCCTGGATGGGACAAGAGTGATGATTTAATGTAAAAGAGGATCAATTTAGGCTAGTTAAAGGAAAAAGCTTTTTGCAAGGATGGTGAAACACTGTCACAGGTTGCTCAGAGAGGATGCCTCATGCCTGGAAACATTTGAGGTGAGGTTGGACAGGGCTCTGAGCGACCTGATCTACTTCAAGATGCCCCTGCTCATTGAAGGGGGATTGGACCAGGTGACTTAGAGAGGTCCCTTCCAGCCCAAGTAGTTTTGCTTCTAAATCTCCCCTGATTTGGTATCTTTCACTATTGCAGGAAATTGTTGTTGGGTTTCTGTCCTTTGGAAATATATATCAGCACATATTTCTCTGGTGTGGGCTTTCTCTGGGATTTTAGCTGTTTGCATATTTTAACTTCTTTGAAATTGGAATGCTCTGCTTTATGCTACTTCTTTTTTTTTTTGTAGTGTTGTAACTTTGGAGACTTCTGCTACCTTATCTTTGTTTCTGAGTATAGTTCCTTTGTGCTAAAATGCAACTGGCTAAATGAGCTTGAAAGAGATGTATTTATTTCCGTAGACTTGGTTAGTTGGTTGTGGCACTGTTTTATTGTGTTTCATTTGGTTGGTGCTGTTGGTTAGGGACAGCTGATACCTGGAAAACTGCCTTCACTGCCTTGGATCATTCTTGTGTCTTGTTTTGTACCACTGTATGTCTTTATATCTTATCCTAAAATTTTATTAAGCTTTAGTGGGATGAATGTCTACTCTTGACTTAATTGGATTAAATACGTATTTACTAGTGTTAAGATGCTGGTGCTTACTTTGGTGACTCTGATAACTTAGATGCTGCTATTAGCTTGACACTTCAGGACTGCTGCTTTTCCATATATATTTTGTAAAGGATTTATGTTCTTTTCTGCTTAACACTTAAATACTTTTGTTTGCCTTTTTCCTTCGTGGTTGTCCTAGCTTAACTTGGATACTGTCTTACAAATTCCTAGAGTTCTGCGCTATTCTGTATGTTATTTCTGAAATCCTACCTATTATGTATTATCTCATCTGTGCAGTTATGGTTCTGACACACATGCCTTTGGTTTTAGGACTTTGTATTTTATGCTTTTAATTCTGTATGGGAGACACAAGGCAGTATATTCATACTGGCTCTGTATGTTGTTACTATAGCTAGGAAAACTCAGCATACCTTTCGAACATTGCTGTGTGTCTCCATTCCCATGAATCCTAGGAAGCACAAGTATAAATATCATGTTTAATGAAAACACAGATTCCAAGTAGTTTGTTATTGTAAGATCACCGGAGCCTCCATTTCTTCATAGTGTTACTATATTAAGTTCTGATAACTTTAACAAAGCTTTGTTTATCAGCTCAAGTTAAATCCAGTAAAATTGCTTTGTCTCCTTGCTATTCTAGATTCAGGTATGAATGTTCAACTATTGCTAACTGCAGAATATCACAAACAAAGTTGTCTGATTTGTTTTAAATTTGCAGAGTAATTCTCTTTCTGTTCAGCTGCTGACAAGTGTGAGCTTTGTGTGGTTATCAATTTTTGTGCAAGTCTAGACGTACACGTGAGTGATACTGGGGAAAATGTGCTTGCAGTGGAAAACTACTTGAAAGGTGTCTCCTGTGTGGAAGGACTACTGCTGTTCCGTGATAATGAGAAAGTTGTAGCTATTTTAAGACTCTGGTGGAGTATGTTTTTTTGAATTGTTCATGGCAATATTACTTTGGGTGGCTGCCAGAAGCTGCATCTACAATTAGACAGATTAAGAAATAATATTTTTAAAAGGAAATATTTTGTGTTTGTTTTAAGTGTTTTTGAAAACTTGTTTTCTCTTGATATAGAGAAATTCACTTCCTTAAGGGTGTGTCCTTGTTTGATGGATACTTTTAATGAGAACTTAATCTTCTCTATTGTCCGAAGGTCACAGACACATAATCCAGGTTGGTAGGGACTTCAGGAGGCCTACAGTTCAACTGCTTGCTCAAAGCAGGATCAGAACCAGTTGCTCACAGCTCTATCCAGGTGGGTCTTAGAAACCTCTGGGGATGAAGACTGCAACTTCTTTAGGGCCTGTTTTCACAGCCTGACTGCCTTACAGTGCAAAAGAAGGGCTTTGTTGTTCTTTTTTCCCCGGAAATCAAGCTGGAATCTAGTTTGTTTTGATTTCTGTTGTATCTTGTCACTCACTACTTTGAAGACCATGGCTCTGCCTTCTCAGCAAGTGCCTCAAAGACAGCAGTGAGCAGCTGTGAGGTCCCACTGAAGCTGTCTCTTCTTCAGGATGGACAATTCCCAGCTTAGGAAGTCAGGTGCTCTGCGTTCTACTCCTCTTGGGGAACCTCAGCTGGACTCGTTGCAATTTATCAATGCCTGTTTTGTACTGAAATCCAAAACACTGTTCTAAATGCTGTCTAATGAGTGCTCTATAACTAATTACTAGGACTTAGTTTACTTATGGAAATGTGGGTGGTTATAAATATGCTTATTAGTATTTGGGATTTTTAGGTATGACTAGATTTCAAAGCAAAATTTTTTAGCATTAGAAGTATTCTTCCACTTACATACTGATGAAATTAAGTCACATTAATTTTAGTGAAAATGTTTGATGGATTTAAAAAATACTGTCACAGATAACACCTTATCTTCATTACATATTTATTCAACTTGATTAGCTCTGAATAAGTCTAATTTGCATCACTGAAGTGTTGGAAATGAAACAGAGTAGTTGGTTGTAATTCTAGAGTGAAGTTTTCTGTAGAAATTGAAGTCACAAAATGAATTTATTTTCACTGTAAAGTATGGTTAAAGAAATGGGTCTCGGGGAGATTGGGGGAATCTTACACAGAGTAAACTTGCATACACAGAAACATAAACATCTGCAGCAAGACCACACGCCTCTTGTTTGCTTGAAGTGGCCTGGTGGGGTGGCAGCTTGCGGGGAAGGGAAGCTCTGTCCTGCTGTATTGTCAGGTTCCTCAAAGAGAATTTTTTTCTGAGAACCTGACAGGACCTCTGCCTATTTATTTTAACTTTTCCACATCTCAGTATGAATTATAGTCAGTGTTGTGGATTGTTTCAGAATCTTAACTCACCTCATGTAATGCTGCAGTTCAGCCCAAACTTAGTGAATGTGCAGTAAGGGAAGGAAATAATAAAGCAAAGGAGCAGACAGAAGGCTTTTGAAACACTTGGTGCTGTTCCCTGTGTGAGCAGCAGGAGTACACTGTGATTGGAAGGCACAAGCAGTGTCCAAACAAGCTTTTGTTTTCCTGAGCTTTGGCAATGGGCTGGCTCTGAGGTGAGTGTCCAGGTCCTGGCCGGGCTCCTGTGGGCTCTGCTGAGCTCCCCCTGTGGCTTTGCTGCTGGAGTAGCTGTGGTTGCAAGATCAACAGCCAGCTCGGGTGTGCCGGTACCTGCTGCAGTCAGAATTTCCATTTTGCAGTGCAGATCTATTCAGGGTTGTCACATCCTTTAAAAGTCACTTTTCTAGGGCTTGTTTGTGCCCACTTGTCTCTTGTGGTTGGTGCAGCCTTAATTTAAATTTACATGAGCTCCAGTTAAGAGCTGTAGTGACTTGGTCTCTGCTGACATAGAAAAACTGGGGCTGCTGTGCCTTCGTCTCACCTGGCATTTCTCATTTAAAATATGGAAAAAAGGACACTTCATATGGAATTTTTTTAAAACAATCTTCTGAGTGAATATGCCTTTTACATTTATAAAATCTTAAACTTCTATAAATTGAAGAATCTTATCTGAGCAAGTATGGGATGTTGACAAGTTGGCATGGCAATATAGCAGAAGTTGAATGGACTTGAAGTTTATAGTATGTAAGATATTGCAAGAAAGGAAAAGCTGTGAAAACATCGTCTCTTAATATTCTATGGTCAAAATATTAGACTCCACTGTTGCAACAGTATTTCTGTGTAGGGTAGTTTGAAAGGATAATGATTTAATTTTGATTGTTAATACCTTTTGTTGGCATTGCACTGAAAGTAGTTCAGGGCCCCTGTTTCAGTGTTTGGAGAAAGTTAAGATTGCTGGACACCAAGAAGGGAGGTAATAACCTCAGTGTGCAGGGTCACACAGGCTCTGTGGCATTCAAAGCTTTTTTGTCTTCATTTCTTCAACTGAATGTGTGTTCCTTCTTTTTTTTTTTTTTTTTTTTTTTTGTGGAGGGATGTGATTTTGTACTGGTAAACTGTATTACTGAATATTGCAGTTTTAAACACAATGTCAGGTTTCCTGTGTTCTTAATGAGATATGAAGGATTTGAGTGACAACCCTGTAGAATTTCAGGATACGGCACAGACGCATTTGTGCACTGTTAAAGTAATGTCAAAGCATTTTTCCTCTTGCAGTCTGTCACAGGACTGTTGCAGCGTCACTGTCAGCCCAATGTTACACAGGAGCATGGGGCTGCTTTTCATGGTGCAGAGATCTGGCCAAGCTTTCCAGTGTTGAGAGGGGAGAGACAGTGCTTTTTTAAAGACTACAAATTTGTGCAATAGAAACAAAGACTGTGTAGTCTATAACCATCTTCACCCCCCCACCCCTGCCAAACAAACAGAAGCTCTTCAAGACTGCTGTGTGATGTCAGATCAGTTGATGAAGGGTGTGTGAGTAGTGAAAGGGAGGTGTTTTCCCATTGTTAGTTCCAAAATTCTCTTGTGCAGTGTTGGGAAATTAAGATGATGAATCCTCTGTCACACAAGATTTTGTCTTTAATTAAATACCATTAAAAAAAAAAATCCTTTTCCTTTAAATGCATGAAGGTTGTTCAGACCAGAAGGCTGGACACTCATTCTTTTGGTATACTAACTGAAGCTTCAGTTAGGAAATGGGGGATTGTTTTTAAACAGAGAAGTACTGTGGAAGCCCTTCTTTTTCTTGTGTTTTTTAGACTTGAACCGCATGAGTGTATTGACATGCTTGTGACTTCAAGAGCTGTACAATAATACTCCAAGTAGGTAGCATTTCATAATATGTGTATACAGTGACTTAAAACAAGCACTCTAATGTCTGTTTACTGAACCAATACTCGTATTCCAACATTGGAATTCCATTACAGAACTTGAGTCAGAATGTTCCTTATAATAAGTCCCAATTGCAAAGCTAGTAATGAATTTCTTGTTAAAGTTGGATGTTTTTGAATAGTAACCTTCAATTATGAGGGATTGTGTAATTTTTTGAATTACTGGTAGCTTGCAAAACATTCTTTTAAGTTCTTGATGTCTACCTGTGGACCTCAAAAGTCTAAAATCTCTCCTGGAAATAGTCTTACAGCTCAGGAGGTAGTTTAAGTCTCAATTTGTGTTTACTTATCAGATACCCGGCATGGCCTCATCATCAACACCTAAATATAATTCAAACTCCTTGGAGAACTCCTCAAGTAAACAGGTAAGTGTAACTTTTTTCATGTTTTGGTTTTCTACATCAGAGTTCCCAGAGAGCATTGTCTTGCATATTTGGTTAGAAAAATAAGTATTTAAATGGCTTCTTGAATGTATGTATTTATTTTTATTGTTAAAATTCTAATGCATTTAACTGAGATTATTTAAATATCTCTTGGAGTGGATGGGCAAAGTATTTGTTGTCATAACTAACAAGAGGTTCCTTAAAATCAGTTTTAATGTAATTACTCTTACCCTTACTTTCTGCCTTAAAATATTCTGTGGCATTCTTGAAAATTTTTGGCAGTTTGTTGCCTTTAATTCTGTATTTTAATTGCTAAGTTATACCTTGCTATGCTTGTCTGGCTCATTTTTAAGATGTTCATCTAGAGTGAAAAATATATTGAAACAATTGAAGTTTCATGTCCCTCTGCTTTCTAATGCTGTGCAGCTGAAGAAAATGTAACCAGGGTGCAAGAAAACAGTAGATTGTTTGTGATAGTTGTGAGTACATTGCTTAAGTAATTGCAGTTGATTTGTTCTTCCAAGCCCAACGTACTCGGAAAAATAAATGCACATAACTTCCAGAGAACTTAGAGTATAGAGGTTTAATTCCAATTTAATACAAATAACTGACTGTTCTTTTAGGAGAAAGATTAAAACCTGCTTATGTTTCAGATCTACTCAGCCTTTAAACATTTTATAGTTGGATTGTAAGATAGTGGTGTGTGTTCCTGTTTTCGTTCAGTCTATGAATTCCTACTTTGGCAAAACCCGTTCTTTCCCATGCAGGAATTACCTTTAAGTTTGGTTGTTTTTATTTTCAATCTGGAACTTGAAATGGTAAATAAACTTTGATGTACTGTTGTGCTTCTCTTCTTTAGACTCTAAAAGATGGAGCTAATTGGGAGCAAAATGAAGAAATACCTCGTCTGCCAGGGGAGACCAGGGTTACAGGTATGAAGCTCAGTAGGTGCCCGATGCAGTGTTGTTCAGCAGTCTGGCAAACACTTGTATCTTAACGAATTGTTTTGTAATTTGGACTGGTTTGGGCTGGGGGCAAAGGTAAGTCATGCTGAATTTTCAAAGAAATTGTGAAAGATTCTTTTTATCACTTACCACAAATAACTTTTAAGTGTTTAAAATCTTGGTTTCTACACATGCTAGATCTTCCCATAGAAAGAAATTGAAAGTTGTGTCCTAATTGTAGCTACAGATTAAACAGCACATGTTGAGTGATGAGAGCTGCTCCAAGCTTTCTGAAATCTAAGGGAATTCTATGTTCTACCCACTATGCATTGATACCTTGTAGAGTGGTGTAGAATTTAAGCCTAAATGTGAATTCCCAAAGTACCATCTTTTCCTTGACACAAGAGGGCATGAACAGGGCTTTTGTGCTCTTGTTGGCTTTTACATACATAAATGCTGTAGCATGAGGGAGATTAATGTACTGTGTAGTTTTGTTTTCTTGATGGAGGCTCTTCCTGAAATGGAAGTGTCTGTTGGAGTCTGTTTTTTACTTGTGCAGCTTCTCCTCCCCTATGCCCAGATTTGTTGGGTGGATTTGTAAACAAGATTGGCTTAGTTGAAAACAAAGTGGTGATTCAGAGAAAGCAGTTTTGTTTTTAATGAAGGTGTGAGGGAGAAGGTGTGGGGCTAAGATGGATGTATGATGTGATCCTTATGGAAATTGTCTGTGCTTTAGGCACTGCACTGGAATAGGGTGCTTTCTGTGGAAGGCAGATAAATAGATTGGGCTAAAGAAATGAGTGGACAGGAAGGAATAAATGGAAGTCTTTAATGTCATGGTTGGACTCAATGATCTTGAGGTATCTTTTCCAACCTTAACGATTCTGTTTGCATTGCTTCACTTAAATCTTTTTGAATGGTATGTGTTAGTATTTGTTCTGTTACTGTCCTTGCTGAAACACTACTGGTGGCCCTACTCTGTTTGATTGCCTCAAATTGAAATGTAATGTTTCTCTGCAGCATGGTGAGTTCCCTAAACACTCTTCAACTTGAACTACTACTTCAGTAGAGAGTTGTTTACAGAATGGTGTAATAGTATCAACAATGTATTTGTTCTGGGATGGTGAATAGAATGCGTTACAGTAATAACAGTACTCCCTGTTCTATGTCCTCCTGTGTAGTGCTGAGAAAGAAAACACAAATATAACTAGGGAAGGCTACTGAAATCTGTGCACTTAATTTGGACCAGTTTAGTATACGAGTCTTTCACATTTTCTTAATAATTCAAGTAGATAAAACTCAGATGTATTACTTTCCAAATTAATTCACCTCTGAGTACAGCTCTTGTTTTATTTTACTGCTATGTAAGTAATACTGTCCTCAGTTCTCATTTTGTCTTTTCACAATCTTTTAAGAAATACTACATTTCTTACAGACAAAGATGTCATTTATATGTGTCCATTTAATGGCCCCGTTAAAGGAAGAGTGTACATCACGAACTACAGGCTGTACCTAAGAAGTGTGGAAAATGTGAGTAATATGCCACAATTACTTCATGGGATGAGTTGGCTTTAAACTCCCTTCCGTTCACCCCCACTGCCTTTGATTTATTTTGTGGCCAGTTCATTTGTTTTAGTTTTGGCACACATATGCTCGTGGGATTGCATGGGAGGCTTTTTGCTTGAAATGATCTGTAATGTTTGTAATAACCATATCTTAATTCTGTAATGACTAAATAGTAATTGCCTTTGTGCCACTGAGATATCTGTATTGAAATATAAGTTCTTTAAAATTAGTTGTGTTGTAAAAGTGCGATTTTTGCCTGGTAAAATTACAGTTTAATCACTTACACTGAACTGATACCCGTATCTTTTGTCTGTCAGAGCTTTTTTGATAGCTGTTCCCTTTACACTTTAATGTGTGATAGATCAAGGGCAGGAACTAATGATGTGCAATAGTTCTTAAAATGGCTGTCAGTAAACCAAGACTTTGATTGTCCTTGCTGTTAGAAAAGAAAAATACTTTGATCGGTAGACCCTTATATGGATGGGGGGAGTGGTAATGTGTTTGATAAGCAGTCAAACATGGAAGAGAGTAAAATGTGCTTGTGAATCTCTTTCATAATGTTTTTTTAAAAAAAATAAGGATTTGGGACTATTGAACTGAGGTGTTTCTGACTGTAGCTAACTGTGCTAGTAACGTCTTTTTTTCATTTAGTTCTGTTTTATGCTGTATATCAATACAACAGTATTAACAAGCAGGGGCAATCAGTGTGTAGCAGAGGGCATCTCTTAGGGTGTTGCCACTTTTCTCTGCATACTGAACAAGGCATGAAATATTGTTGTAGCATGTTAAACTGGATGATGCTCAAGGCTGTAGAATGACTGTACAGACCTCGTAACATGCTGGGAGAGGAGATTCAAAGGCAGAAACATGCTTTTGTTTCTGTATGTATTTCATGTCTGCTTTCTATTCTGGAATGCATAAGAACATTATGCTTGAGTCTTCTTTTCACATTAGCCTTTTCCTTACTCAAACTTTTCTTGCAGGATCCGGTTGTGATATTGAATGTTCCATTGGGTGTAATTTCAAGGATTGAAAAAATGGGAGGAGCTTCAAGCAGAGGAGAGAACTCTTATGGATTAGATATAACCTGTAAAGTAAGACTTCCCAATAATTCAGTAGGAAATTAAATCTAGAGGGTTTTTTTCCTCACTGATTCCTGTTTATAGGAAGGGAAAAGTACATGCTTATGGATGAATTTAAAAAGAGCTTTTTGAAACTGGACAGGGAAATACCTGTTGTATAAAGGGCTGTTTAACTGACCTCCCTGCATGCAAGGAGAGAGGTCGGTCTTGCCTTCCAAATCACTAAATGACAAGGTTTTGTACATCAGTTGTATTTTAGGGCATTATTATTGCACTGCTTTGTTACTTCATTTGTTCTAAAATGAATATTTTTAATAATTCTGGTATCTTTGAAGAACATCTTGAACAAGCTATTTTAAACTATAAAGCCATTGAAAAGTATATGTAAAAAATATCTGTAGTATTACAAAAAATTGTCACCATGGAAAACTATGGTCATAGGGGAGTTCCCATGGATAACTCTGGGTCCTTTACTAGATGCATTGTGTGCACATTTGATTCTTAGCAGTTAATGCACAGATTGCTTATTTTTGACACCAGTGATGAGAGCACAGGAACAATGTATTCTGCACAGATCATTGGCAAATCTTTCTTTCAAAAACAGAGTAGTTCCCATCCTGCAAACTGTCAGTGGCTCATGAGACTTCTTAGTGACTCAAACAGAGCTATTTCTGATGGCTTCATGCCAAAGTGCTGTTCGCAGCACACAGAGTGTGGTACTGCTGTATCTGTACAATTCTTATACTCTGTTCTGTTTTATGGGATAAGAAATAAACCTGAACTTTCACAAGGGTTTGAGGTGTGTTACAAGCAGATTCTAAATCATGTTTAGTGTATAATATAGCACTTGTACAGAGAGAAGCTTCTTACAGCTTTGGTTCACCTAACAGATAATGGCTTTGTTTTAGGATATGAGGAATTTACGGTTTGCATTAAAACAAGAAGGGCACAGTAGAAGAGATATATTTGAAGTCCTCACAAAATATGCTTTTCCCCAGTCACATAACTTGGTAAGTTACATGATTTCTATTGCTGGATTGTATTAATGCAGACCTCTTGTCAATTAACTACCTATTTGACCTAGTAATGGCTACAGCATGGCTGCTTAAAAAGTATAACCACAGAACCTGGTGTTAGCATAAACTAAACAGCAGCTTTTATTTTGTATACTTACAACACTTAATTCTATATATTTTGGAAAATTATGGAGGTACTCCAGATACACTACTGAGCACCTCTGCTCTATATAGATTTCATTGCTTAGAAACTGCAAGTTTATCCTCCCTAATTTTGGAATATAGGGAATACATGCCTTACTTGATTTCTTGAAAACATTAATTAATCAAGCAGTCTCCAAGGCAATGGTAAGTATGAATCTCCAAGGGTTTTACTTCAGGAGAAAAAGATATGGTAAGACAACACTTGTTTTATTGATTAAACTAATGAAAAATATAACAGGAATGCATTTATGAATTTGCACAGGTTTATTTCAGGGTAAAAAAGCATCTTATGGAAGGAATTGAGCAACAATGATGCAAGCTAATAATTATCTTCCATTTTTTTTAAATCCATGAACTGTGCTTATTGTGAGTGATTTGACATCTCTTCAGTAAATGCTTTATTTTGTCCATTGTAATACTCAATTTACACTTCATTGGTGTGCTTTAATTTGGGATAATTGTATAAGAACACTTTTCGTAAAGTATTGGGAGCTTCTGCTCTGAGTTTTAAGAACTTTATTCAAAGAATTGTTGAGTATACAAGGCTGCAGCAAGAATCTTGCTTCTTTCCAGGAATGTATGTGTCAGTCAATGGAGTGGACTTTATAAACACTTAATTCTTTAAAACTTTTCTGCAAAAATTTTCCTTCTATATACAAACTGTGGAGTGAAAGCATAAGAGAAAATATGCTTTTGCTTAGAATATTTTCTATTGTTAACAAATAGGCCTTCAGAAATGAAACAGATTTTTACATTTGGGTAGGTGTGAGGAGTTGTAATCACAAATAAGATAGTTGTTAAAGAAGTGAATATATCTAATTCTTCTGTTCCCATTTTATCAATTTAAAAATAATGATTGAAAGGATGACAGGATATGTGAACCTTGAAAGTATGATGTAAAAGAAGAAGCTGTATGTGGAAATACCAAGTTATGGAGAGGTTCAGATCAAAAGTGTCTTCTAGACATCACAGGGTTTTGGCTTCTGCTGCAAGAGGGTTGTGGATTGGGTTATCCAGGGCACAGTCAAGTGTATTATTGAAGATTTCCTGTGTTGTAGATTCTGTCATGCCCATGCAATCTCTTCCACATTATCATGAGGATAGAGGGTTTTTTTTTATTGTATGTAGTGAATATGGGCAAATCAAGTTGTAACTGACTTAGGAGAGTGTCTTGTGGGATAATCCAGCTATGGGGTGTGAATACCTTGGTGAGGAGATGTGGACTTGTATTGGGTTCTTCATCCAAAAAGACCCGGAGATCCTGTCTGGTGATGGCAGTGAGTGATCTGTGGAGTTGGCCACTTCCTGCCTTATTTGTTGGACCTGTTGAACCTAATAAAGCTCATCATTATATGGCCTGTGTGAAGGCCACTTGCCAACAGAAGTTAAGTTTAATAACAAAAGTCTTGGTTGAGGCACTAGCAATTTGGCCCTTGGTAAAGCACAAAAGTTGGGGAGACAGTAACAATGTGGAGGGAGAGTGTCTGTACTTTGTCTGATAACTATGTCTGAAGCAGAGTATGCCTGTTAGCAGGCAGGATTACTTTGGAGGGAAATAAAGTGAACCTGTGTTCCATCTGAAGTTGCAACTGTCCTTATTTTCTAATGTCAGTGTTGATGAGCCCTTAACTTTAACATGAGCAAAGCAAGTGTGTGATTTTTTTTGGTGTGCTTTCATTGTATTTTGGCAAGCAGTTTAAACTGATCCTGCCAAAGGTGAGTGTTTCTGCCTGGTTTTCCATTCCTGTCTTGCTTTTTGTTGCATGAGTTTGAGGCTGCATGATGAACCAGACAGGGAACTGAAAGGAACTAAAGTTATCAAGGAGATAAAAATAAAAGCTTTACTCTGAGTTATTTCCGGTCTCGTTAGTCCAAAGTAAGAGTGGTGTCAAAGCATCTCTGAGTGGATGTGAATGAGAAGGGATGATGGCACTGCTCCTTTCAGTGGCTGGTTTACATCAAGGTTTCACTGTGTGAATGTGGCAGGGTGTTGGGACTGTGCATGCCTGCCTTCCCCTTGGAGTGCTGTCTAACGCTCTGGCTGTGTAGCCAGCTCACTCAGGGAGGTGTTCTACAAAGAATGTGCTGTAGTTCCCCTTGACAGCTGAGTGGAGATGGAAGCCCTCTGATACTCAAATGCTGAGCTCTCGCTCTTCTCTGATCTCCTCTCTACCTTTCGGTTGTGTGGTTGATTTTTCTTCTAATACCAAACTGATATTTGTATAATTTCTAAGCCAGCATAACTCACTTATCCAGCACAAAATATTCTGGTTAGTCTTATGCTGCTTTGAATAATTTGAGGAGACCTGGTTTGAAATCAGTATGCATCAGAACCAGTGCAAGAGTGGACATGTGAGTGGAGCAGGTAGAAGGCAGGAAAGAAAAGAGGGGAATGTCCTGTTTTTATCAATGATAAATGTTAATTTAGCTTAGACCATCTTGTGGAACTGCATCCTTGATGTTTAGCTGGTTCAGCAGCACTGATGCTTGTGCAGCTTTGCAGTGGAAAGAAGATACCATCAGGACAATAAAGTTCTAATGCTTTACTGTCCTGATTTTTATCTGTATTTTTATATTTTATATCAGATTTTTATGTGATTGATTTTCAGCTATAGTGGAACTTTATCCTAAGAGCTGATTCTGAACAGGAAGTGCTAGAGATGCCTTGCTTCTGTTTTCTTCATGCTGTTCTATTCTTGTACAAATGGATGGTAAATAACCCAAGAGGTGGTTTCTGAGTGGAGTGTACTTACTGTTTTCAAGATTTGTCTCCATCACCATCCCAACAGCAGTGTTTGAGAGCCTATAATAAATCACAGGCCTGTTCACGACTGTTCCCCTGAGCCTCTGCATTGTCCTTGCTGCTTACTTCCAGAAGCTGATTCTTGTTTGTCTCCAGTTTGGGCATAGGTTGGGTTCAGACATCCTTGAATCAGTAACTTAAAGTAAAATCTGATAGTTCATCTGACTGACAGCAGAGTTGATGGGAAGCAAGCAGCTGCATCCTCTGTTACATTTGCAAACTCGTGCTAATTGAAACAAAATTGTTGCTGAAAGTGTTGGCTTTTTTTTTTAACTATTGAAAAAATGAACCCAAAATAGCCAAACCCCCCCCCCCCCAAAATGAGATGTTTTGGTCCACCACAAAAGATGAGACATATTTGGTCTCTGTAGTTTAGTTTCTACATAGCAGCTGCTTCACTTCCTGATCTTACCATGAAAGTACACATCATCATTTTTATAAGATTGTTCAGCACCGTGGTATCTGCACTATCTGTATTTATTCCTAACCCCAGTAGGTCTGTGGGAATGCCCACTTTGATGAGACTCTGGTGGCTGTGCTGGCTGACTGGAAGTGCTCCTGATGTCACTGCTTATCCTGGCCTGTAAAATGTCTGAGGGTTGGCTCACACCAGTGTTGCTGCTGGATCTGCAAAGATGACTTCAGCTGGAGCAAGGCTGGCAAAGGGGCCTGTCTGACAGGGCACCTGAATTTGCAAAGAACCCCTTGGCTTGAGGCTTCCTTCCCCATGACACATCAGAGCCAGGGCAGCAGGGGTGTGAGGTGACAGTGTTCACAAAGTTATACCAGCACTACGGTGTCTGACCTTAGTTTTTAGATCAACAGGTGAGATGTAACTGGCTAGCTTGTAGTAATGGCATACTAAATGCCATTAATAATGGCAAGGATAATGATATATTTATTTTTAAATACACTGAGAAACTGTCAGCCTTTACAGTGATTAAAAACTTAGTAATTTCTTATATGCAAAAAGCATACATCAGTGAGTTAGAAATATAAAATGCAATTGATTTTCTTCACAGGTGTGTGGCACCTTCTTATTCTAGTTTTGCTGCTTTCTTCTTTTGCAGTGCATAAAGATTGGTCAAATATTTCCTGGATTGTGTCTACATTATGTATTCATGTACAAGTATTTATGTGCTGTGTTTGCATAAAGAGTAAATATGTAGCTATTGTATTTATATTGATATTTATATATTTACATTATGTTTATCCTGCTAAATAGACTGCTTGCTAAACTGTAATTGTCAGATTGCAGATGCTTTCTCCTTTACCTCACAGAACTATTTTGTGTTTTGAGCTACAATGTATTACATATTATTTTTGTGCACTAAATGAGAAGGAGAAATTGAATGTTAAAGACAAGCACTCTGTCTGTAGGAGGCTTAAAAACAGAGATGGTATTGAAATTGTGGGTTAACACCTGCAAGGAAGTAAACTATTATTTGCACAGTGAAGCATAAAAAGTAGCTTACCAAAAATGTGATAAGATTTGAAAGATTTTTTTTGAAGTGTAGTAGCCTTCTTGTTCAAGTGAAGCAGTAGTCATCTGCTTTTAGACTGTGGATCTGCAATGAAATCCCTACTTCCATTTTGTGCAGGGGCTATTAATTTGCTTTTGGAAAAAAATCTTAGCTGTTGCATAGTGAGTCATGCTTGGTTTTGCCAGCTATAGGTATTGAAAAGTCACAAACTTTGCACCCAAAAAGTGTTCTGAGTGGTGATTTACTACACTTTCTTGTTTTTTTACTTGCTTAATGTTTTCTTAGATTTCTTCTTTCTGTTTCCTCTGGTAGGTGAAAAGAATTAGAAACTTATTTTTAATTAGTTGATAGACTAATCAGAGTTGATGGGCTTCCATCAGACATGTAGTATTAATGTCCATCAAACTTAGAACAGACATGATCAGTGCATTGGAAGTGGCTGCAGATTATTCTACCTTGAACTCAAGATGTGAGATAAATAATCAGTATAACTTGAGGGAAATCTTTATTTAAGACTTGAGGGAAGTCTTTTATTTAAGTAGCTTTCAGCAAGCCAGTGTCAGTGCTGAGAGGGGGGATGCCAGCTCAGGCTTGCTGCCTGAAACACTGACGTGTTGAGCAGGTGGTTTGCCTGAAACTGCTGTTTGTCCTTAGCACCCAACCAAACTACTGCAGAGTTGTCTCAGGTGCACCTGTGCAAAACCGTAGTTCTGCTTTTTGATTATATGTTCTTGATTTTGAAAAACCTATTCATGATCTCAAAAAATCCACAGTGAAACACACTTCTATTTTACTGCAGTATTCTTCTGAACCTGAATATCTCTTGTATGTAGATTTTATGGTTTTTTTCTAGTTTCCACTCCAGTCTGGACACATCTGATGAAGCTGCAGTTGATTTAATTCTGGGGAAGATAGACTGTGCAGCGGGAGATGCAGAGAAAAGCTTTTCGTTGGAGAGGCAGGATTAACAATGAGAGAAAGGAATGGAATTTTGTGTGTGTAGAGGGAAATGAATGGAGGTCAGGGTGGAGACTCTGAGTACCTAAAGTATTGTTTGGGGAGAAGGAGGATCTAGGAGGGATGTACCATAGATTTGAAGGGAAGATGTGTGAAGAAGGCATAGAACTGAACAACCTTTTATTACTGTGGTATTTGAGAGGCTTTCCTGTGTGAATAATGGTGCACTGAGAGAGGCTGGCAGGGTTTCTGCCTTGCAGGGCCAGGCGCTGCTCATGTCGCTCTTCTCCGACCTTGCTCTGCCCTCTGCATCTGAGGGCTATAAATACCCACCCAGCTGGTCTGTACCCACTGCCTGTGGGCACTGCTGGCACCTCCCTGCTAACCTCCCCACGTGCCAATGTGTGTGTGAGGGGCTCTGGTGTGAAGGAGCCTGTATCCACAAAAAGCTAAGCCGTGGAATTTTACTAAGATAGCACCTCTCAAATCTCACATCAGGTGATAAAGAGAACCTATGCATGTTATATTGTGAATGGCATAATTTCTCCTTCATGTTTATTTCTGTTCCATTTGCCTGCTGCACTCAGATTTTGTGCACTGTGAGGTGAACGTTTCAGCAGCATTGAGTTAATCAGTACATAAATATGCTAACATGCTGCGTTTAATCTGTAGTCTTGGATTATTCAGGACAAAAGTATAAATATGTGGGTCATTAGTGCAGATGTGAAGCTAACCTGAACTATAGCAAACCCTTCTGGGATCTAAATAATGTATTTATCACATTTGCTTGTTCACTATAATGTGGTTTATCAGTTTGGTTGCATTAGAATAATAAAATACCCAATTCAACAAAAATGTTATTCAGTAGAAATTATTTGTTATTGCTCATTATCACATTTTGTTTCAAGTAAAAGGAAGTAATGTCCAAACATGTGCTAAATAAGGCTTGTACTGATACAGGTCAGAAAATGCAGCTGTAGTTAAGCATATATCTTATGTTAAGTTTATGATTCTTATAATAAAATGGTTATAAATGTGGGTTGCTTGCAACAGTCAAGTAAAGTAAACTGTAGTTAGAAATTAAATAGACCTATATGAATTGAGTATAACTGTATGTAGAGTATTGCATTTGAGTATCTCCTACTCTGTTTTAATGACAACATAAGAGCAATAATTGTATATTTTGTTGGGAAAAGTGGGCCTAAGGTAGGGTGGGGATGCTACTGTATTTCAGACTCTGCACTTAGGCTGGACTAAAGCTCAAGCCGTCTTCACTGAGTGTTTCAAGTCATGTCTGAGAAGCTATCGAGGGTGGTGGGAATGGAATTCAGATCTTTAATCTTTTGGTACAATGAGTAAGAATTTCAGTAGTCACCAGATGAACTGTGCAGTCTGTACACGATGGTGCACATCCAATTGTGTGTGTATGTCAACCTTTTGCTGAAATTTAGTCAGTGCTTGCAGAAGAAAAATAATTTTTAGTCATCAGGATTTTAGAGATTGGTAATTTTAAAATATTATTCTTGTGTAGTGTAATGCAGGAGTTTTCTCTGAATTGTTCACATAAAAATCTGAGTCCAAATTTTGCTCCATACACCTTTGCATTCATTGTAGTTTTCTCTGATTTAAGACTTCAGGTTTTTGCTGGTTGATCTATTCTACTAATGATTTTTTTTTTTAATTGAGCAACATAGGAAGAATTTGTACTACCTGAAATATCAACAAAACTGATGAAGCATAATTGTCCACTTAAATAGTTAAGGGCTGTGTGACTGTAAGCTTTGGTAGCAGATGTGGTAAAGCTGCTGTAGCCAAGCATTTTAAATGAATCATGCTGTACATAGTAGGACATTGTTCTTTCAAAAGGATTCAATCCATCCCCTCATGCATAATAAATTTAACCCTGGTTTTTAAAAGATGAAAACAAAATGCACTTTTCCCTCTGATGTCTTGTGGATTTTTTTTGTGGGTGACATGAGCAGCATAGCTGCCATTTATTTTTAGTTCAGAACAACATCTTTTTTTATTTTTGTCAGTAAAAACCTGTTCTATGTACCAGCTATCACAGTGCACTGTAATAAACTCGTGAGTTTTGCTTACCAGGGCTTCAGATGGGTAATTTTTACCTTCTTATGAGGAAACTTGCAGTAAGTGGGAACTTAAATAAAAGACTTATTCCTGCCTTCAAGACATATTTTAAGTGACCTGTTAGGATTCCAGTGTTTCTGTTTCATACTGTGCTAAGATTCTCCTTTGTCTCTGGGTCCTTGATGAATTCTTAGCATAGTTGCTCTTTGGGATATAGCAAATTCCTTTGGGAGGAGGGGATGGTTCTTGTGTGTAGCTGTCTATTAATAGTTCAGCAAATCAGTTGCATCTACTGTTTCAGATAGTGATATTCCCATTTTGCTGTATTCCCTGTTTTCAATTAAAAAAACTTTTCCAAGTTTTTATTGAATTCTGATATTTGCATCTACTTTTCATGGTATGTTTTTTTTCTGATAGAGTAGATGTCCACCTCTTCATCTCTCCCTCTGTACCACTTGATAGCAGTTTACGTAGTAAAAAGAATTTGTAATGTTTATTTGCACTGAAGGTCTACTTCTTTAAAAATGGTAAAGACATTCAGAAAATAAAACCAGGGAATGCATTGTTTACTTCTGCAAACTCACCAATGAGTGCACTTGCTCTAAAGTAGGGATTTAATTTAAAATTCTGGTTTGTAAAACTAGTGACATAAAGCATCTTGAATGAGCAGTAACATCCATTTAAAATATTTGTTTACTTGAACTACATGAGGAAAAAACTTCTCCTTTTAAGGGGGATTCAGTTTTGTGTTTTGATATGAACTGTTCAGTGTTTAAAGCAGAGTAACTTATTGGGCTGAGCAGAGTTGCCCAGAGCCTTCCTAAGGTTCAAAGCCTCCTCCCGGGCGGGGCGTGGTGTTGCAGGTTTGAGGAATTGCCTTCTCTCTGGACCTTTGTAGGTGGAATCATGGCAGCTTAGACCACAAGTTTTTCCTTGCTTAGCTGGGGAGAGGATGCAGAAAGGCAGCTGCTTCCTAATGGCAATGAATAGCAATTAAAACCTTTTTCCATTTTGAATTTAGCATCTAATGTTGTATGTTATAATTGAGCCTGTGCTTATTGGAGAAATTTGTTGAGAAGACAGTAGTTTATTGAGTGACAATGTGAAATATGGGAAATAAACCATTCTAAAACATTTCAATCTCCTGACAGTAAAAAAGAAAAAAAAAATCCAACCTGTTAACCTTTATAATTTCTGTTCTTTTTGTTACCTGGTAACTGTTGTCATATTTTCATTATTTTCATTACCAGATCTGTATTTTTTGTTACTTGTCCTTTGCTTCATAGTGTTTCACATACCAGATATAAATGGAGAGAGTGGGGCTGCCATGGAACAGTCAGCCCTATTTTGTAGTGAGCATTAGGGTATAACTGATGATGAGCCCTCATATTTGCCATTTGCAGTCAGAGTTTGGTGTAATAAGCTTCTTATATATCTTACAGCCTTTTTTTGCCTTTGTAAATGAAGAAAAGTTTCCTGAAAATGGGTGGATGGTGTACAACCCGATGTCTGAATACAGGAGACAGGTGAGTTATTACTGTTGCTGTTGCCTGGTGCTTTCACATCTCCCAGCTTGCATAGAGGAATTACTGTTTGTACATTTCTCTTATCAGCTGTTGGGAGAGGATGGAATTGCAGCTTGAAGAAAGGTAAAGGAAAGAAATAAAACACTTGAGCCTTTGAAAAAACCTAGAATGTCACAGGAAGGTAATCTTTGCTCTTTGAAGGAATTTGTTGATGCCTCTTACAATGTGCCACTGCTAAGTGAGCAGAGGTTGGAAGAATGTGGCAAATCTGTAACTGTAGTGTCCTAAACTTAGACTGAATTTGTTCTACTTCCCAAAATGAAGTGGGGAAAAAAACCAGCTTGTTTTAGAAACAGCATTGCTTTACAGAAATTACAGATGTCTGTCAGTATTCTTCCTTGCTCTGTATGTGATCTTGGAAAAATATCGATGAAAGAGGATGGAATTTCATTTTTAAATGTCTGTTAGATAATTAAAGTACGACATTACAAAAAATTAAATAGAGAACAATAAGAACTTCCTTAATTTTTTTTACCCTCAGTAGTTTTTTGGTTCATGGTTTAGAAGCATAAGGCCCAAAAAAGGTAAAATACAAACACCCACACAAACGCCACCGTGCGTGTGTGGAGGACTTAGCAGTATTTCTCCTGGAAATGCCTTACTGCTCTGAGTGCAACTAGGAGTTGTTCTTTCTCTGTAAGAAAGTTACCCTGAATCTTACTTTTCACCTGATGGTAGTACCAGGCTACAGGGAAGAAAGGTTATAGTGAGGCTTTGTCCTCCAGTCTCTCTTCACCAGGGAAGGTGGAAAAGCAGAGCTTTAGGCAAGGAGAGAAGGTAATTTTCTTTCCTCAAACCCACAGTTAAAGAAATAGATCTCTAGTTTCAGTCATTGTTTGGAGAGTTACTATAAGGCTAGAATTGTGTGCATATGGGTATGCAGCTGTTTAAGGCTGTGACTCCATCTGCAATGAGCTGGCTTGTGTGGCCTTGTAATCTTTTTTGCTTCTATTCCTTTGAAACGGTGCTTAGTTAAATTGTTGCCATGTGGCCATAATGTCATGTAAAATTCAGAAGCAGAATTATTACTTGTTCAGCCAAAAATACATTGAATCATTGAATAACATCATGTTATGTTTTAGGGGCTGCCTAACGAGCGGTGGCGGGTGACTTTCATTAACGAGCATTACGGGCTGTGTGACACGTACCCGTCGCTCTTGGTCGTGCCGTACAACGCAACAGATGATGATCTCAAGAAAGTTGCTGCCTTTAGGTCCCGAAATAGAATCCCAGTGAGTATGGAACTAGCCTGAAAGTGTAGCTAGTTTTAAGTTGCATCCAGACAACTTCTTGCTGAACATGACGCAGAGGATGCTTTTTTTGGAAATGGTTGTGGCAAAATAGTTTTGATTGGCTGGTGGTTTTCACTGCTTGAAACTGGTATCTTGGTCAAAACACACTTCCGTTTTTCCCCCATCACCCACGACAGCTCCATTGGTTTTAAGCTGGCTTGCCCAGTAACAGTGGCCAGCAGTGCAGTTTCCCTTGATGAGGAATGAGTCTTTCTACAATATGCACTGGTTACTATTCCTGAATGCCCATGAAAAGTAATCACAAATGATGTTCTGCAAGCAAACCACATGGCATTTAAACATAGTTCTACTGGTTGGTCCTAAAATAAGACGTCAAGCATAGTCTCTTTGGTGAATTCTTGGGCTTTTTAATGTGCAGAATAAGAGAAACCCATTTGACTTCTTGAGTTTCTGTAATGAAAATTCTATGAGATAAGAGAATTTTTGTATATCAGCTCTTTACAGTGCCTTAGAAAATACTTATTTCTATCCCAATACTTGTTTTAACTGGTATTTCCCTTTGGCAAACTTGGAAGATGTGCTGGATTCTTAGACAGTATTGGAAAGCTGCCTTGAATCTCAGTTTCAAACAGATGCACAGCTTAGTATGACAGATATTTATTTGATATGGTATTTACCAACAGACTAGGTCTACAGTTATAAATTTACTATATATACACACACATATATCTGTATAGTATATAATGTGCATAGAATACATATGTGTCATGTATAGCCTGTGCATGTAGTTCTAATAACCTAGTGGTGTCATCCCTGTCACCTCAAAATTCATGACAGGCCTTTTGGTATGCCTGCACAGTGAGTAATTACCTTGGTAAGAGTAATTTTATTTAAATAGTAATTTCATTCTTGTCAAGAAATAGCCACTCATCCTATCCCCCTCACCCCTGGCAGATCTTGTTTCTGATCTACGCCTCAGGAATGAGCACTTTTTGAGGATTGGATTTTGGGGGTTTTTTTGTTTGAATTCTGATCTTCTTTCACTCTGTAACCCACAACTTACGGAGTGGGTGAGAATACTATTTATTAATATTTTTCAACAATGAAATTGCATTTTTTGCCTGCTTCTTGGATTTCTTGCTTATCTTTAATCTTTGGCACTGCATCTGTTCCCTGGGCAGCTACCTGTCTTTTGTGGCAAGGCCTCTGTGGCTCTGAACAACAAAGACTGCATGGGCTTCGCTCCAGTGCCTTCTCTTTGTAAAGAGGGCTGGGGAACAAAATGTGCTTTAAAGAGAAGAGAAAACATTCAAGATTCTGCAGGAAGGTTCAACTTCCCTTCCTTATCCAAAAAAAGGGAAAAGTTGTTCTTGTAGAATTGGAGTATCTTAGTCACCATTTCTACAATCAGTTCATTCTCCTGAGTTGTTTTTAGTTTCCGCAGAGATTGCTGTGTTTGTTACTAGTTTATTTTTAAGGATATCTGTGCAACCTAAGGCTTGTAGGAAAATATTAAAATACATTGGATTATATAGGTAAGTATGATTTCAGTAAGCATTAAATATGTAAGAGAACTCTTTTGAAGAATCTTGTGAGACTAGAAGCAGTTGAGATGTCAAGAGATTGTATTTTGAAGAAATAAAAAGAAAGGTGTTAATTTTCATACTGTGTATTTTAAAGAATATAGCTTTAAGTTATGATTTTTGTACTAAAATGAGTTTCCTCTGCTGTGTGTTTGCCATGTGGCCAGGTCCTCTCATGGATTCATCCAGAGACCCAAGCTGTAATCATGCGCTGCAGTCAGCCCCTGGTTGGAATGAGCGGCAAGCGGAACAAAGATGATGAAAGATACCTTGATATCATCAGGGAGGCCAACGGGCAGGTCTCCAAACTGACCATCTATGATGCAAGGCCCAATGTCAATGCCGTTGCAAACAAGGTAAACAGATGCTTCTAGTGTCTTAGTTTTGAAGAGAATGAGGAGGAGATTTCACAGTTTTCTGTCAGGAGGTTTTGGGGAAAAGTAGTAATCTTAATATAGATAAATTTGCATAATCAGTTACTGAGGGTCAAGGCCATGAAAGGACATGAGTGTCTAAAGTAGGTCCCTAAGCAGAGTTTCAGGACCATATGTGGATTTCCAGACACTTTACCGTGTCTGTTCTCAGCCAAGCACAGCTCTTAGCATGGGGCTGAAGCTGGGCGTGACTCCACTCTGCACTGGAAGGTGACTGTAGGCTGCTGTGTAGAACATGTCCCCTGTTGGAATGACAGGCCACCTTTGCGCAACCTGCAGATGCTCTGGGAAAATTCCATCCTAGAAAGGATGTGTGCATAAAGCCAAGCCCACTGACAGGCATCCTTTGTTTGTCAGGAAGAAAAGGTATGCCTGTGGATTACTTTCTCCTCTGCTTCCCCTTCAACTTTGTTGAGGATTAGATTATTTAGGCAAGCTCAAAGAATGCCAGTACACTGTGTCCATGTTGTTTTTGGCATGGAGCACGGTAGACATGGATGTGCTCCATCTTTATATGCAAAAACCATGTTAGGGAGTGATGGTGAAGAAGACAAGTTTAATGCTTTTGTCTTAAGAGAATGTGCCACACCTGGGGATAGTCTCTTAGTCATGGAACTTCAAACACACATGAAGAGACATGCTCTTCAGTACTTACTAGTGAAGGTGTGTTTCTACACAGCAAAGAGCACGAGAGCTAAGCTCAAGAGGGTTTGAGACCCGAGTGAAATGATGAGTGTGCTTATCTGGAGAGAAGGAATTCTAGCTTCCGAATAGTTTTGTGGAACAAAGGAAACACCATTTTAGTGAAATGAGTTCTCTTCAGTGTTTGTGCTGAAAGGAATATGAAATGGTAAAACTTGCTTGCATATAAGAGGCTTATGTGTAACAAATGTTGCTTTCTAGAATAACAATAATAATTCAAGGGGGCCAATAATACTGGTAGTTTGCTCTGTGCAAGTTAGGTGCACCTATTTGTACCTGTACAACCTTGTCTATAATACAGAATGTAGTTTGTTAAGCTTTGTTACTATGTTTGTGTGTGTAGCACACATTCTTTCAGAAACTCTGTCCTAGGGGCTGTTTTAACCTGATGATTTGTATTTTGAGGGTCAGCCTCAATTGTTTGCATGTGACTGTACAAATCCCATTATCCTCTGCACACTGAATTTTTATGGGTGAACAAAGCATGTCGTCTTTCTGTTTGCCTTGTGGAAAGATTGTCAGTTACATCTTTGAAACAAATGGGGTAAAAAATTGAGTTAGTCCAAGAATTGCAAGAAAATTTAAGGTAATGTCTTATAGACAACATTGTACATGTTTTAATTAATTCTTCATATATCTAAATATGAAATGCTCAATCAGAGCAGTAGACACAGTAGAGTACATTTCTGGGTCTGAGGGAGAATGACATAAAAAGTGCAAATCAATGTTGATCAGGTCTGAAAATATTTTATGAACAGCTGTGAAGATTTGTCTAAGCAAAATTTTGGGCTGTGCTACTCATGCACTGCTGTGTTCCTTGTACATAGGTCAAGACAGTCAGGAGCTGCAGCAGCCCTGATGGTGAAATTATAATCATTCCTCATAAAGACTTCATAGCAATCAAAGGAAAGAGAAAAATACACTCATTGCTTCTTTCACTGTGGAGCCTGGCAGCTCTGATAATAACCCCACGTCTGAGAAAAGAGATAGAGAGCACTGAATAGAGATACTGTACTGCTGTATGCAGTGTAGGTGGCACTCATGGGGAAAGGCTACACTGTGCTTTAGGCACTTGTCTGATGTATAGCTGGTGGCTGCAATAGCATATAAAGGCAAAATATATTTATCCAAATTTATGGCATGTTTTTGCTGTCTGCAGGAAATGCTGCAATTTTGCAGCATTCTGAGCTTGAGGGAGCTGGTGATGTTTAGTCTGGAGAAAAGGAGGCCCAGGGGGGACCGTTTCACTTTATACAACTGCCTGAAAGGGGGTTGTAGCCAGGTGGGGGTCAGTCTCTTCTCCCGAGTAACAAGTGATGGGGCAAGAGGAAACGGCCTCAAGTTGCACCAGGAGAGTTTAAATTGGATATCAGGAAAATTTTATTTGTACTAAGGCTGTCCAGGGAAGTGGTTGAATCACTGTCCCTGGAAGTATTTAAAAGATGTGGCACTTGGGGGCATGGTGTACTGGTGGGCTTGGCACTGCTGGATTAATGGTTGGGCTCAATGATCTTAAAGGTCTTTTCCAACCCAAACAATTTCATGTTTATCTTTGGAAAGTCTCGTCAGTGGTTTTGCGCCCCAAATGTGTGGGTTTTCTGCTTCCTTTTGTGACCAGGCACATCCTTTGTAGTGGTGATGGTGAAATGTTTTGAAAGAGCAGCAGCAGAAGAGACTTTTTACTTATGTGGCTCTTTAATATCTTAACAGTCTAAATGTGTTTAGTCTTCAGCACTAAAATTTACTTTCAGAAAATTTAGTTTAAAGTAAGCTTTCATGTTGTTGCTAATTTACTTCTTACAGACAGAATCTAAGATTCTTGAACATAATTTTTAAATTAAAGGTATCTTATTCTTAGCTGAACTCTTAAATTCAAATTTGTTTGGCCAAACATTTTATCACTGTCTGTTTCCATGTCAAATGACGTTCATTCCTTTCTTGCTCTGTTGAAAAGAGTGTATATATGACTAAAGTTAATTTCAGATCTCCTGTTTGTAGGCAACTGGGGGAGGATATGAAGGTGAAGATGCATATCCCAATGCAGAACTTTCCTTCTTGGACATTCATAATATTCATGTCATGCGGGAATCTTTGAAGAAGCTGAAGGACATTGTTTTTCCTAATGTGGAAGAATCACACTGGTTGTCAAGTCTGGAATCAACCCATTGGTTAGAACATATAAAGGTAACTTTTCCTTGATTGTTTGAAAGATGTTTGTCCAAATCTGTCATGTCATACTTGCTTTCTTTACTAAGCTTTGAAGTAGTCCTAGAACACATCAAACTACTTGGACTACAAAAACAACATTCCTGAATGTCGGCTGTATTGCCAACTAATCTTAGATATGTTACAAGACTCATAACTAAGCAACAGTAGGTGAAATTGAGTGTGTGTTGCATGCCTCAAGAGTCTTCAGTAGAAGAATGCATTCTTAGTCTGATTGGCTTTACATGCATGAGAACTGATTTATTTACAGGCCTGCAGATGACTGTCATTGTGAGATATTAGTAAATACTTTAGTTGTCAGTGTGTATGTGACTTTATTTTGTGATTTATGGTTTTGTAAATAAACCTTGTAAATTTATTTGTGAATTTTGTAATTTTCATCTGGTAGCACAAATAAAATACTTAAGCTGGTAATTCACCAGTGTTCTTTCTAGTTGACCTTTAGATCTTTTGCCTCAAGTACAGCTGTGCAAAAGTAATTAGAGTATTATGTAATGAATCCTACTTAACAAAATTTTCATCTTAATTTAATATTTGGAAAATAAGTATATTAGAAGGGCGCAAGCTCCTTTTTCCAACAACTGAGATAATTCAGTCATTTATTTCAAATAAAGGAGTCAAATGAAATAACACTGAATTTTTAGAGAGTATATCCTATGGTAAATCCCCTCTTTCTTTGAAAAAGCAGCTTATGTTCTTTGATTTATCAAGGTTACTGTTTTCTGCCCCATTTTTTAAGAATTTGCTGTGAGATGAATTTGATCTTACTAAGGGATTAGGGAACCAATCTGTTTCTCTATTTTTATGCAAGAAATTCACTTGATCTCCTAGAAAATTCTTTTCCAATTAACTACACTGCTCTTTTCAGGTCTTTTTATAGAAACAGCATTGTTTCAGATACAAAGAAATGAACTTGGTGTTATCATTTGAGCAGAAATAAGCTGTGTTGTTTGTTTGTTTGGTGTGTGCTGCTCCTGGCCAGCTCGTTCTGACAGGAGCCATTCAGGTGGCAGACAAGGTGTCGTCGGGCCGGAGCTCGGTGCTGGTTCACTGCAGCGACGGCTGGGACCGCACGGCTCAGCTCACCTCCCTGGCCATGCTCATGCTGGACAGCTACTACAGAACCATCGAAGGCTTTGAAGTTCTGGTGCAAAAAGAGTGGATAAGCTTTGGACACAAGTTTGCATCGGTAAGAATTAGAAGACGCTTGCAAAGACTGTGTAGTACTAACTTTTTGAAGAGCTTCCAGTGTTAAACTGCTCACTTTGCATCAGGGTTTGATAATTCCTTCCATTATTTTTGAATGTAGATTTAAAACATTTCCAGGTAAACTGAGCAGAACTTTTAGGTTTTGACCGGTTTGATCAATATTTTTCTTGCTATTCTTTCTCTGAGAACTCATATTTTGTCCTTTGCATCCTTTTAAAAGCACAGAATTTCTAGGGTCACTGTGGTTATTGAGAAACTATAAAGGCAGAAAGAAAATAAGGAGGCAGAAAAATTGCGTCCTCTCAAATTCTTCAGCTGAAGATCAGATAAAGCTGGGATATTAGGTTCTCCATCACTCTTTCCTTGGACTGTTTTGACTGTCACAAGGAGCAGATGAATGACTCTGGCCAGTGTCTTCTAAGAGAGATTTTGCATGCTGATTCCCAAATATTCTAAACTTGTAATAGCTCCCAAGAGGCTGTTATTGGTAATGCTGGCTCAACTGCTGCTCAGTTGTCCTCTGGGCAGAAGGTTAGAAACTCAGACAGTTCAAGTAGTTGCTTCCATAGGAAGTCCTTAATATTTCACAGGTTATGTGAATCATATTCACGGAAAATTCACAGAATATTTTGAGTTGGAAGGGACCCTGTTCATCCTTTTTGTGTTAGAAAACTTTTCAAAGTCTTAGTGGAACTTTTTCTAAATGTGGCAGCTAACCATTTAACCAGGAAATCTATAGGCAGAACCTGGAGGAACAGATTAGGTTGCCATGGAGACTGTGCTGTTACTTACTATAAACATTACAACAGTGTTGCTTGTTGAAGCTGAACCCTGTAATTCACTGTAAGAAAGTTTCTACAACTTCGGTACTGAAGTTACTTGCATGGATATTTTTTCCCTAGTGGAATATTCTAAGGATATTAGTATTGCTAAAATTTGGAAAATAGGCAATATGGAAAAAAATCAAGAAATGGAAAAATCAAGAAATGGAAAAATATACCTGCCTGTGTGTTTCATGCCCATTTTACATTTGCAAATGTGTAAGAGTGTTGTAGTCATTTGGAAATCCCTGTATAGCTACTCAGCATAAATCACCTCACCATTTACATGTGCTTGTAGGCTGTGGCAGTTTTTGATCTGGCATTCAGAAGGTGCTTTGAGGCTTAGAAGGTTTGTATTTTGGCTGTTGGGAGTGATAGCTGATGTAGTCTGGTTTTTTGTGTACTTACCTGTGGTCCTTTAGCAGTGATATGGTTTATAAACCTTTAAGTATTCTGTCTTGGTACAGCCACAGGAAAATGTGAAGCTAGAGGCTTGACTTATTATTCTCATGTTTTATTTGGTACTTCGAAAAGTTAAGAGTCAGGATGCAGATAAAATTAGATGGTATAACTAGGGCACTTTTAGTCAAACATGTGTTATGGTATACCACAGAGGTTAAAGAAAGAGATCTGTGTGTTCTTCATCATTATTCATAAATTCAAATAATCTATGTTTCTTTTTGTTAAACCATTCAGTTTAGTTGGATAATCAAAGGATTTTGTTCTCCCTCAACAGATGTTTTTTTTCCAAATAGTGAGGCAGGACTTGGCATCCCTTCCAGATGATTCACTCAGTCCATTGGTTCATGTCTGACAATGTAGCAGCAATAAGAAGGATTTAAGTAGTAGCTTTTGCTTAAACTGCTATTTTCCTGACTTGCTCAGTCAAGTAGCAATCTTTGGAAATGGTTGAAGTCCCTCTTTAGCCATCTGCTGCAATCTGAGAATACTGTAAATTTTTATTTGATGGGTTATTTAGCTTATAGTGAAGGTCAGTCTTTTCCAGATTGTTCTGTAGAAGTGATGGAGTCACAATCCCTGGAGAAATAAAAGACATGTGATGTGTTGCTTGGGGACATGGATTAGTGGTGGGCTTGTCAGTTCTGGGTTAACAGTTGGACCTAAGGTCTTTTCCAACCTTAACTATTCTATGATTACAAAATTATAATGAAAAAAGAAAATATTATGATAATTTGTAGTCCTTTTTAGCTTGGTAATTATGTGATAGAATTCTGACTTTGAATAGTGAGAACTAGATACTTAGTGCAGTTAGAGCAGTTCTGAACCTCATCTCCGAAACTGTTGTTGTTTCATTTTCCCTTTAGTAGGGAGTTGAAGAGTAGAGCATTACTTACATTGTCTGGGTTGGTGCAAGCTTCATGTTTTTATGATGCCAGGGTTGCAATTTGGATTATTGAATATCACATAACCAAATAGAAGACTACTTAATAGTTCATCTCCATATTTTATATCAAATGAGGTGAGCAATAAGTTTTCTTGTTGAAAAAGAATTCCCTACCCCAACTTCTCTGTGTGTGCTGAATTTAGTGCACTCTCCAGATGATAAATTTGCTCATGTGGAATTTAATTCTAATTATGCATTCAAATGTAAGACATAATTATAGATGGGAAATAGTTAGACATCCTGAAACTGCTAACTATAGTGGAAGTGGACAGACTTTCACTTCTTACTAAACACATATATGACTCTTAATGGATAACGAGTATTTCAAACCATGAAAACTGAAGAGCAAGGAAACCAATTTGGTTTTCTTCTTTGTAGCCCTTTTCTAGTGATTTGTTCCTGTTGACTGAGTTCAGCTGCAATTCCTCATCTCCCTCTATTTCCTCCCATTCAATTATATTATTTTAAACTATCTTGCAAGCCATTGTACAGAGTAGTGTACTGCTCTTACGATTTTTCATGCCCTTGAGGCATTAAGCTTGCTATCTTACAGGCAGATAGACAACATCTTAGGTCAACATACCTGCTTTTCTTTTGTCTCCTCCAGCAAGTACATTCAAACAGAATTATGGAATGAAAAGAAACTCTTTTTCCCTGAATCTCTTACCTGTTCTCAGCTATCAAATGTAAAAAGGAAGTAAAACAGCTTTTACCAAATCTACTGTGGGGCAAATTGCTTTGATTGTTACTTTGAACACCTCAGAATAAGGGGCTCACCCAAACTTTACCGATCTGTTAATTTTGTGTCAAGAACATGAACTTTTTTTTGATCTTGTTCATGTTTGCCTACTACCTCAGGGTGCATGTTAAGGTTCAAGTATGGAGGAGAAAGAGATGATAATGTGTGGATAATTTGATGATCTAGGTCCTGCAGTGGCTTAAAATAAAAAGAAAGACAAAGTATGCAACTTGGCTTTTGACAGACTTACCATGTAAATGAAGTTCAGTAATGGATGCTTCAACAGTTCTGCTTGTCTAATAATCAGCAGGTTTTCATAAGAGGACCAGTTATCATTTAGGAATAATTTTCAGACATCTTTGGAACAGCTTTGCAGTATTTCTCTGAAATATCTGAATCTCTCCTTGGTGCAGTGACTAATTTTGAAATTATAACAGTGGGTTGCTTTATTGCAAAAGAATTAATGCTCTAGTACAAAATAAGAAACCATGTCTGTTGTCATAAAATAGCATGTTCCAGTTAACAGGAGGCTGCTTTGCTTCATTTCAGAGAATAGGCCACGGTGATAAAAACCATGCTGATACAGACAGATCACCCATCTTTCTCCAGTTTATTGATTGTGTGTGGCAGATGTCTAAACAGGTATGTGATGTTGTTCTTCAGAAGGTAACAGTGTGAAGAGATTACTGAATTAAAACCCTACATCTTTATTTTTTTTTTGAAAAAAGGATTTGAAGAGGACAGCATACCCCTGTGCTCTGACCTGTAGTAAAAAAAGTGTATTTACTTTTGTGAAAGTGATATACAGGCTGTTGTTACGTTGCTGGACATGGCACTGGCTGTGCAGGCATGGCTGGTGTTCCTGAATATGGGATTCTCAGGCACATATGGAGGGATGTTTCATACCCTGCAGAAAGCTTTTACAGGAATTGCACCCAGTGTCTCAATGGTGTCTCTTGTTTTGTTTGACCATTTTGTGAAACTGCAGGGAGGTGTGTTGTTTTATCTATGCTTAAAAAGAAAGCTAGGGAGCTTTTGAGTGCTGTGATTTAAACATTGTAATGTTAGTGAGTAGTGAAACAAAGCAGTGAACTTAGTCCACTTAGGATCAGGACCTTTATTTTCCTGTATGGTTCTGGACTGTAAGAGTGCACTGAAGAGATCTTATTCTGTCTTGCTAGCAAAAGTGTATGTGTAACCATTCTGTACTTTTTTTTTTTTTATAAATTAAAGCTAGGTAGAACATTTTGAGAAGAGATTTTTCAGTGGCTAGTTTGAGAAAGTTGAAGTACATTATATAAAGTACATTATATAAAGTACATTAAAATATTACCTTAAAAATTATTTGTAGATGTATCCACACTTCTAAATGCTACCTTCAGCCTTTTAACCAGGGCATGTGCATGTCCCCCTACGTTTTCCATGTCAACAATGAGTTTGTCTTTCCTGGTTTTAGTTTCCTACGGCCTTTGAATTCAATGAGCAGTTCCTGATTACAATCCTGGATCACTTGTACAGCTGCCGGTTTGGCACTTTCTTGTATAACAGCGAGTTCCTCAGAGAAAAAGAGGTTAGTCACACCACTGACTGTGTCATTGCATTGCTGTCTTTCCTCTAGGTGATTGCAAAATATTTTGGTTGTATTGTATTTGGTTATAGTCCTTGCAGACAGTGATTTTGAACTGGCTTTTTTTCTTATAGAATAGTGCCATGCAGTCACTAAAATACTTGTCAAGCACTGGGTTTGGAATCTTTATAATACAGTAATGTATTATGCTTCTAAGTAAACCAGAAGTGTATTAATTTTGGAATGTAACAATGGCTTCTGTGATGGATTTCTTGATTTTATGCATATATTTACTATTCTTATTTTGATTTCATTGTAGAAAGTGACTGAGAAAACGTTATCGTTATGGTCCTTGATAAACAGTGAAAAATCTAAATACACCAATACTTTTTATAGCAAAGAGCTAAATCGAGCACTCTATCCAGTAGCCAGCATGCGGCATTTAGAGCTCTGGGTTAATTACTACATCAGGTGGAACCCCAGGATTCGGCAGCAAGTAAGTCAATTCTCTATAACGTACAAAAAATGCTCTTAGACATTGGAAATAAGGATTTTGTGTCTTAACTGACTTGTAGAGCAGTACCTGTAATCTGTTCAGGTTTTTAATGTTATATTTGTAAGATGGAGGGAAAAAAGTGTAAATAATTATTTAGCTCTCTCTTAGCTCATTGAACTTATTTCTCTGTTTAGTGGCAAGTCATCCTTGAGCCCTTTCTAGCCCTTTTTCTTGGACACATGTCTAAGGGCATTTGATGCTATTAAATCCTGAATGACAGTGCTTAGAAATGGGGCTTGCTGATCCCTGAAGAGTTGGGGCATTCGCAACGCAAACACAGTTGCATTTGCTTGGTCTTTCTCGTTTTCTGAGAGAGGGTATGAAACAATTTACAAATGAAATGACCGTTGAGTCCTTTCTCTTTCAAAGCTATATGTACTGACATTAAGATTTAAATTTTTATGTAACATTGATGACCCAGCATTGTTTACATTGTGGATGAAAGCTTTTATTGAAAATGGGTGAAAAGTAGATCAGATTGGAAGTCTAGAAAAGCTTTTATCAAATGACACATAGTTCAGTTCTGTGTTTTTAATCCATATGGACACTCAGTGTTTGTTAGTCTTGCTGAAAATCTCCACCATGTGGCACATAAAGATTTTTGTATAGAGACTTTTTTGTCCTTTTTAACAGCTTGTGGAGATTTGAGTAGAAGATAGAGGAGCAATTTGTTTGACAGAAGCAGTCTTCACAGTCCAGCCCTTGGAATGAGTCAGTAGTTTTCAAGCAATACACTTCCTTTTGCACAGCTGATCTCCTGTATTATTTACAGCACTTCAGAGGCTTCAGGAAAGCCTGGCAGTTTCTTATAGCTTTTTACAAGTACATTGGCCTTACCTATTGGAATTGGAAGTACTGGTTTTAAAGTTCTTGTTACTTGTTGTGAAAGATGAGGGTGTTTTGCAAAAAGTAAATGCAAAGATTTATTTTAGAAAATAAAGGATTATAAGACATGCAAATTAGCCATAGATCTACTTAAAAATGCAGTTTGCCATTATTTGGGAGAGTTTTTTGCCAGGAGTTTCTCCTTGGAAATGCAAACCCAAGTAATAGTATTCCATGCTGCTACTACTGGTCCCTAATTTTCACCATTTTTGTACACAAAATGCAACTTTTTTTCTGCACATGAAATTTATGCTTCATCTTCACTTAAGCAACTGAATAATGAACATGTGACCTGAACAATTTTTTTGATGACCTTAGTGCCATTCCTTAGAATTATGTTCTGCTAGCAAAACTATTATCCTACATCACCAGTCACCTTAGTACCTACATTCAGCATTGTTCCAACTTCCACAGTTGTCCATCATGATCCTCAGATGGGTGCATAGTGAGTGGTGCATCTCAGAGTGCTGGTTGAACTGGTTTTGAACTGGTGAGGTGTTCAGCCATTTGCTGCTGGGACTCCACTGCTGATAGCTGTGAATTACAGGCAGTTAACTGTGAAACAGCAACAACTTCTAGACAGGTATATTCAGCTGAAGGTAAACTTAAAGCTCTCTCTCTGCTTTGGATGTTTGTAATAGTTCTTTTCCATTTGTTTCATTAGTCTGAAAAGGAATTTAAACTCAAAGTGGAAACCATTAAAAAGATCTTTCTCAATAATCTCCTGAAAGCCAGAGCAGTTGATTTTAAACACATGCAAGTTTACTTAGAGAGTTCACTTTAAAAAGTTTTTCCACTTGTTTATTTACACTAAGTTGCAAATTAACTATTAAAAACTCAAGTAAATTTCATCAGTGGGAGAAGTTATTTAAACTGAAGACATGGATCTTAATCTGATCTGTGTAGCTAAAATAATCTGGCTGAGCACTGTGTTTTAGGGAAGATGCTGAGACATTTGGCTTCTGGACTCTAAAACCATTTAGTAAGTCAAGAAAAAAGCATTGGTCAAGGTATATGAGTAACTATCTTGCACACAATAGTAGATAACAAAATTAAATCTGTTCCAGGAAGTGGTGGCTGATTTTACTGAGTTAGGACAAACAATTTTGTGCAGAGATGGACTTTGGGGGAGACAGCTGGAAGGCAGAGGGCTCTCAGGTTACAGCAGTGAGTATTTCTGCTTAGCTCTGACTTGCTACACCTGCCAGGAAGCCCTGGATACTCGAGCAGCCTGTGTACAAGTAGTTGAAGTGCTAAGACTAACATGGATCTCTTCCTAGCAGCCAAACCCCGTGGAGCAGCGTTACATGGAGCTCCTTGCGCTGCGTGATGATTATATCAGGAGACTTGAAGAGCTTCAGATCACAAATAATTCTAAGATATCCAATTCATCAGCCTCATCAACATCTCCCTCACAAATGGTGTCCCAAGTGCAAACACATTTTTGAAGAAAATGTTGGCTTCTTATACTGTAATAGCAAGTGGTGCTTAACATAGATTATAAAGAGGAATATTCTAATGCCTTACACTAGACTGTCCTAACACAAATTATTTTAGACTGTCTTCATTTGAGGAGGACTTCAAAACAAACCCAGCTCTTCGATTATGTGCCTTTCAGAACTTGTGGACTGGGAACATTATTAATCAACTCATAGCTATGGAGGGCTTTAAGAGTTGTTTTGGTAGGTCTGGTACAATTGAAATGAAATTGATTTATTGTTTTCATAAGAATGCTTTAATTTATTACATTTTAGGTCATGTTTCTCTAAGGAAGTTCATGCTTAGTCTTACATGTCATGAAAAAACACAATAATGGCAATAGGAATATTGACATTGTATAAAATTAGGTATGTCTGTATTCCTGTTAGGAGTACATTCATGGAGTTCATGAGAGAAAAATAAATTATATTGCAAGATGTCAGAGAGAAGTGTTGAAACTTTCTGATTACCCAAGAATTCCAAATTTTCATTTTTTTTAAATAAACAGAAATATGGAAGGCATGTCACTGATATGCTTCTAAATAAAAAATTCAAATCGTTCAGTAGATATCAAAATAAAAGAAACTTTTTTATTCTATTTGATTTTATTAAAAAAAAAAACAAATGAAAGTTGCACTGGTTTCTGAAAAGTTCTGTTTGGGCTAGCTGTTCAGCACTAAAGTACAGTACAAATTATCACTGTGGGCAGTATTGGTTCTTTGGATTAATACAGAATTAAATGTTTCCAAAAGAAGGTTTACAAAATGAAAAACAGAACCACAGAGACATAGCTTAAATATCCAGCAATAGCCATAGTATTAAAGCTTCTGTTTGTCTTTTAAAAATAAATGTGCCTGTTTAAAGGAGCTTTTATACCAAAGTAGACAAAAATTCTCAGTTATAAATAATTTTGAAAACTTGTACATTTATACTTTACTGTTTAATTTAACTCCTGCTCAGCAAATTCATTCTAAAGTATTTAAGGGGCTTCAGTATCCAAGATTTGCATATAGTGTGTGCACTTATATTGAGCATTCAAGTGAGCTCTAGTTTCAAGCCTACCTTTCAGAGGCTTTTTGTAAATCTTAAACTTGTTCCTTTCAGGTAATTTTTAAATAGTTGCAAGCATTTCTTATGACATTACAAACTTTGCTCTTGATATTTAATTAAAATTTTGCATATTCACATAAGTTTAATGATATTCAAGCAATCCAGGAAATACTGCAAATCAGAATCTGTAAAGGACTCTAATGTTGTTATTTTAAAGGAGATATTTTGATGCTTGAGGCTTCTGTCATTGTAAATTATTGTACATGTGGTGAGTTTTGATCTGCAAGATATAATAGGATTATATATAAATTTTCTGTAAGTGTATATAATATAGTTTATTAGAAATTCTGCAAGTTTATAAAGTGTAAATATTTTGCATATGAAAACTAAATTTAAAGGTATAGTTCCATATAATAAATCAAAGTTTAGAGGACATTGAATATTTAAAACAGTATTTTTTCAAAGGAATAAAAATATACTGCCTCTGGATTTAATTCAGTATATGCACTGAGTTGCACTGTGTTTTCAGGGAAGTTCAGAGCATACAGCATGTGTGTTCTAAATATGCAGAATTATATGACTTTTGTCCTCTAAATTTCATTCTTCCGTCTATGCTCTCCAGTATGTGTATCCAAAATAACAATGTTGTTCCCCAATCTTGACTTGTTAAGATTCATTACATCAGATAAATGAAGAAGGATACTCAGTTGTTCACGATGTATTTTACATTTTGAAAGCTATGCATACTCTGGTATATTTGCCTCCTACTTACTTGTGGTTTATTTAAAGAAAAAAATGCTATTTTTATTAGAATATTTAAAATTTCTGTATTTGAGTTTAACATATTGGTGACATCTGTGAGCGGTGTGAAAAAGTTCTGAAAATCTAATAGTTTTTACTGTGTAAACACTACATGATAACCTGTTACATTTTGGAAAGTGTAATGTAATGGAAAGGATCTTTTTGCACTTACTTCATTACATATTACTTTGTATTACTCTTCAGCTGAATTTGTCTTTGAAGCTCTCTAACATGGCTCTCTGCGGACTTGGAATTTTTCAAGTCAGCAGATAAGTGTTTTAATTGTTTTTACATATGAGACCAACATAAAGGTGATTTTAATCCAGTATGTTCTGGAAAATACTACTTGTGAATGTAGGCATACAAATTTATCAATGCTAGCAGAACATCTCTCTCCTTCCCCCATAACTGGGCGCTCTGGGCTGTTGTTCTGCACAGACCTCCTGTGCTCTGTGCACACTGTTCCCTGCCAGGAGCACACCTGGGGAAGCTTCCGAGGTGGTGAAGATGGGACTTGCAGGCGCTGAGTGCCTTTTCTAGGAGGGGTGAAAGAGCAGAGCTGGTGTCAGCATCACCAGCAATGAATGCCCAATAGCCCATAAGAAATGTCAGTCTTGGAATGCTAGTTTAGGTTTTTTGTATTCTTCCTTCCGTGGACATGAAGAGAATAAGCTAGGTTTTGTGCTGGGCTTCTGTTACTTATTTAGAAAGGTTGTTTGTTGAATGCCTTCTTTATTTGTTCATGCCTTACCCTTCCCCCCAGCATCAGTTATGACTGTACCTAAGACATGACTTGTGTGCTACCTCCTTTGATGTATTGTTAACCTCTGCCTTGAGTTCAGGTGTTGTGTCGCAGCGAGCATTCTGTCATGCATGAGAAAACATGATCTGTAACAGCGCAGGATCTCCTCAGTACTGCCGCTTCCTCACTAACCGTGTCGGCCGCTCTCCTTGGATGCCGCGGGACTGCTCTGGAGCCCGGCCCTGTGTGCCAGGCCTTGGGCCGGGGGAGAGCAGTGAACATCATCCGTCCGCCGTGTATGTGCGGGGAGGGGAAAATAAAGATGTCAGTGCTGAACTCTTCTGCCTCCAATAGCCCTTTTCCTGCCGCGTCTCCTGCTGGGGCGGAATGGGCGGCGGGCGGGAGTTGCCCTCTCTCGGCCCGGCCCTCCCTCAGCCCGGCCTGGCCCCGCCGCCCGCCCACCCTCGCGGCGCGGAGGCCTCTGGGAAGGCGCCGCCGCCAGGTGACAGCCCTCGGCGGTGCCGGGGCCCCAGCGGGCTGGGCAGTGGCGGCCGGGCCGGGCTTGCGGAGAGGCGGGAGACCGCCCGCCATCCCGGCGGCGCGGCCGGAACCATGGAGCGAGCGGCGGCGGCGGCAGGGCCGGCGGTGGAAGGCGGCGGCGTGAGCCGGCGAGCCGTGCGGGCGGGGGGCGCCGCGGCGGCGGGCGCGGGGTCACGGCAGCCCAGCACCGAGACCCTGGACAGGTGAGCGGGGCCGGCAGCCGGGGACGGCCCCGGGCGGAGCGGGCGGCGGGAGAAGGGGCGCCGCGGCCTGCGGGGCCGGGCGGGGGAGGCGGCGGGCGCCCCTCGGCCCGAGCCTCGGCCGAGCGCGGTCCCCCGGCCTCGGGGCGGCCTCCCCGGACCCCTCCGGCCCCAGAAGCTGCAGTCTGAGGGCGGCTGCTGTGCAGCGGCGGATGGTCCGCGGCGGGAACCGGCTGTTGTCAAAGTTTCCTACCGCGCTTGCCGTGTGCCGGCAGTGCCGCCGCCTGCTTGGCCGAGGCTGAGGCGGCCCGGGGCTTGGGGCGGCGTCCTGCAAACCTGAGCTGAGACTGCCCGCAGGTTTTGAGACTCTTCCCGATTGGTTTGGGGTTTCTTCCCTGCGTGTTTTTAATCTGCAGAGGTGGGACTGTCCCCAGGCACCTCTGTGCCCGCTCGCTGTGCGTTGTGTCCCTGGTGTGTGTCTGTAAGTGTGTCCGCAGGGTCTCACCAGAACGGTGCCAGGTGGGACCACATCTCCTCCGGCAGCCGCTGGCAGAGACATTACTTCACTCAGAAGTTTCCAGCTGAAGGTGGGCTTCAGAATTGAGCTTCAAAATCCTTAAGCAAGGAGTAGAAGTGAATGGAAATCTCACCCTGATGAAAACTAAATAAAAAAAAATATTTAAAATCAGTGCTAGGTTCCAGTCTCTGTATTGTCTCTTTTTTCTCTTAGTGGAAACCTAGGGGTTTCCATCTTTCTAGTGAGGATGGAAATCAAATGTCCATTTTCTGTCATCAAAATGTACACCATTGTGTTCCTTATTAATGCACTTTCTTATTCTAATTTTCATCTTCCCTTCTTCTGATCTTGCTCTTTCCTGGGTCAGTTATATGTCCATTTGTCATACAGTTCACTTGTTTGCCAGTACAGTTGTACCAAGCCAGGCTGATGTGTGTGAGTGCAGATGGGCTGGAATGCAGAGGCAGTCGGTTCTGCTGTGTGCCCCGCTGGTGCATGGGGAGAAGGCACATCGGTGTGACCCGTGCTCTGTGGAACATTTAATTCTGTCACATCCCCTGCACTGCTCTCAGGGGATGGTCCTGCATTCATATTCGTTTTCCTGCTGTTACTAACTTTGTTGATGTAGTGATTCCTTGTGAAGATAAGCCATAGAAAAATAAATATTTTTCTTAATTAACAAGTGAGTGCTTATTTGAAAACAAACTTAGGCAAGTCTTGAAGAGCTACACTGGAAATTAAAGAGATGTGAGAGAAGGAGAAATAAATGAGGTAAGAAAAGGATTTCTGTAGGATTTAGGCATTGGGCTCTTTTGCAGAACTTATAGTGAAGAGTTCTCTAAGTAAATCTGGGTTCAAGTTCAGCCCTAACCTGAGAGTATCTTTGTTGTTCAAGCAGGACTATCACAGATGTGTTTCAGTTGCAAAACAACATTGTGAGATCTAGTCCTGTGTAGAATATGCAGGTGGGGAGAAAGCTATTAAAATTTATTAGAAAAGATTTGAAGGATCTTCCATTTCAGGCATGACGTTGTTGCATGGATCTGTGCCTTCTACCCAGCTATAGTGGCAGAGTTAATGTATGGGAAGATCTCTTTTTCCGTAGGAATTGGTCATCTAAGGCTGTTACCCCAGCCCGAGGTGTGATGCACCTGCTGGGTGCATGTGAGTATATTCACTTCAGTGTCATGGAGCACTCATAGAATCCAAAGCTAATTGATGAATTAACTAAAAAAAAAACCCAAAAAACATTTTCTTTCTGTATTTAACTTCTGAATAATCATTCAGAAGCTGTAGACAAGCACAGCTGAATGATTTGAAGAAAAGTGGCAGTTATCTAAGGCACTGTCTGAGGCTGCAATAACGCTCAGGGAGCAGTTCCCTCTGGCATTCCCAGTTTTTCCTTGGATACCAGTGTGTGTTGAAGCAGACCTAGTGCACTTAAGACTGTCATTGCTTCTCCCTCTCAGGACTGCATTACTTGTGAGCAGCACTAGTTCAGGAGACTGTTCTGAAATTGCATCACTTGGGCTTTTGTGCAGTTCAGATGCTTTGGGGTTCTTGTAAACACCCTGTGCTTTACAATTCAGTGA